AGATATTCCCAGTTAAATGCGCAATTCCAGAGGTTAGCCAGAAGAGATAAGGAACTATTTTTAAATAAGCAATGCATGGAAGTGGAAGAAGACAACAGAATAGGAAGGACAAGAGACCTCTTCCAGAAAATTAGAAACATTGGAGGTAAATGTCAGGCAAAAATTGGTATGATAAGAAACAAAGATGGCAGGGACCTAACAGAAGCTGAAGAGATCAAGAGAAGGTGGCGAGACTATACAGAAGATCTGTATAGGAAGGATAATAATATTGAGGATAGTTTTGACGGTGTGGTGAATGAATTAGAACCAGACATCCTGAGGAGTGAAGTTGAATGGGCCTTAAGAAGCATTGCTAACAACAAGGCAGCAGGAGACGACGGGATCCCAGCTGAACTGTTTAAAATCTTAAAAGATGATGCTGTCAAGGTGATGCATGCCATATGCCAGCAAATATGGAAAACACAAGAATGGCCATCAGACTGGAAAAAATCAACTTATATCCCCATACCAAAAAAGGGAAATGCGAAAGACTGCTCAAACTTCCGTACAGTGGCCCTTATTTCTCATGCCAGTAAGGTAATGCTCAAGATCCTGCAAGGAAGACTCCAGCAATACATGGAGCGAGAGTTGCCAGATGTTCAAGCTGGGTTTAGAAAAGGCAGAGGAACGAGAGACCAGATTGCCAATATACGCTGGATAATGGAGAAAGGCAGGGAGTTTCAGAAAAACATCTACTTCTGCTTCATTGACTATTCTAAAGCCTTTGACTGTGTGGATCATAATAAATTGTGGCAAGTTCTTAGTGGGATGGGCATCCCAAGTCCCCTTCCCTCTCTCCTGAGGAATCTGTACAAGGACCAAGTAGCAACAGTCAGAACTGACCACGGAACAACAGACTGGTTCAAGATTGGGAAAGGCGTACGGCAAGGCTGCATCCTCTCACCCAACCTTTTTAACTTGTATGCAGAACACATCATGCGATGTGCGGGGCTGGATGAATGCAAAGCTGGGGTGAAAATTGCTGGAAGAAACATTAACAACCTCAGATATGCAGATGACACCACTCTGATGGCCGAAAGCGAGGAGGAGCTGAGGAGCCTTCTAATCAAGATGAAAGAAGAAAGTGCAAAAGCTGTGTTGCAGCTAAACGTCAAAAAAAAAAAACCAAGATTATGGCAACAAGAATGATTGACAACTGGAAAATAGAGGGAGAAAATGTGGAGGCCGTGACAGACTTTGTATTTCTAGGTGCAAAGATTACTGCAGATGCAGACTGTGGCCAGGAAATCAGAAGACGCTTACTTCTTGGGAGGAGAGCAATGTCCAGTCTTGATAAAATAGTGAAGAGTAGAGACATCAGACTGGCAACAAAGATCCGCCTAGTCAAAGCCATGGTATTCCCTGTAGTCACCTACGGATGTGAGAGCTGGACCTTAGGGAAGGCTGAGCGAAGGAAGATAGATGCTTTTGAGCTGTGGTGCTGGAGGAAAGTGCTGAGAGTGCCTTGGACTGCCAGAAGATCCAACCAGTCCATCCTCCAGGAAATAAAGCCCGACTGCTCATTGGAGGGAAAGATACTAGAGACAAAGTTGAAGTACTTTGGCCACATCATGAGGAGACAGGAAAGCCTAGAGAAGATAATTATGCTGGGGAAAGTGGAAGGCAAAAGGAAGAGGGGCCGACCAAGGGCAAGATGGATGGATGGCATCCTTGAAGTGACTGGACTGACCTTGAGGGAGCTGGGGGTGGTAACGGCCGACAGGGAGCTCTGGCGTAGGCTGGTCCATGAGGTCACGAAGAGTCGGAGACGACTGAACGAATGAACAACAACAACAACACAGACATATAATACAGCTCAAAGCGGATAATCTGGAGTCAGAAACTGGATTATATGGCAATGTAAAAGGGGGCTGAGAATTCCTCTATGAATTAATACTTAAAATGAAAAATACTTACTTGGCTGAAGGGGAGGGCACAAATACTCTGAATAATAAATACTTTACGCAGAATGTACTTACATTTCTAAAACAAACAAGCCTCCTTTTGTAGCCATTTCCTGCTACAAGGTCTGCTTCGGAAACATAGAGGACGCAGGATCGATTTGGGAGGTGGAAGTCCACGATGCCCAGACCGCCTTCCAGAATTAACTTAACTTTCCCTTGAAACATGAGGACCAAAAAGGTTTTAATAAAAGCTGAACTATAGCAAGCAATCTAATATCAACTGAGGTATAATAATAATAATAATAATCATCATCATCATCATCATCATCACCATCATCGTTATTTGTACCCCACCACCATCTCCCCAAAAGGACTAGGTGCGTCTCACAGAAGCACCCCAAGTGCCACATGCAGACAACAATACATAAGTATAAATACAATGACATAAGTATAATAACAGTGCATAAAAGATTCATTAATAAAATTATAAAAAATTGAAAATTATAAAATTCCTAAAATGCAATGGGATTTTTATTACCTTGTCCAAACATTTCTCCAAAAGGAAATTTAACTAAGACATTGTGGAATAGACCCTCTCAAAGCTGGAGAAGGGAGAAAGGAGAGAGGAGGGAAGGAAATAGGGAAAAAAAGAGAAAGAAAGAAAAGAGGGAAAAGAAGGAAGAAAAAGGAAAGGGGAAAAGGCATTAGAGGAGGTTAACGAAAAGAAGGAAATGCAGGGGGGCAATGGCAGGTATATATGCTAGTTGTGTATAAAGTCACCTTACATTAGGTGCGTATGAAAAATACCATATAAGCCGTGTTTTATAGCCCCTTTTTTAGGCTGAAAAAGCCCTTTTTGACTGAAACTCAAGTCAAGATTATTTATTATTTTACTCAGTTATTATTATTACATTTATTATTTTACTCTATTTATTATTGTTCTTATCACATTTATTATTTGACTCTATAATCATTACATTTATTATTTTATTTTATTATTACTGTTATTATATTTCCATTATTTTATTCTATTATGATTATTATTACATTTATTATTTTATTCTCTTTATTATTATTGGAACGATACGTAAGCCTATTTACATTGAAAAGGGTTAGAATAATGGTTTAATCAGTTGGACAGTCTTATCTTAAATTACACTTTTATGTAAATATTCAAAAAGATTGAACCTACTGATGCCTCAATTAATGTAATTTTATTGGTATCTATTTTCATTTTGAAATGTACCAGTAGCTGCTGCATTTCTCACTCTCGGCTTATACTCGAGTCAATACATTTCCCATTTTTTGTGGTAAAATTAGGTGCCTCGGCTTATATTTGGGATGGCTTATATTTATTTTATTTACTGTATTTACTCTATTTGTATCCCGCCTTTCTTGAGGGGACTTAAGGCAGATTTACATATGACAACTATTTGATGCCTTATACTCAAGTATATACAGTACTAGCTGTCCCCTGCCACGCGTTGCTGTGGCCCAGTCTGTTAATCTGGAAAATAAAGTAATGAGAAAGTGTTGGTTTCTAATATATGTAATTTTTTAATGCTTGTGGGTAAACAGTATTTCTTGCTGTTTCTTTGTCAGTGTTGATGTGGAGAGTGTCTGGTTTGCCCACCCTGGAACATGCAAGGTGTCATTGTCCTTCTTTAAGGGTCCCTTTCAAATCTATGATACTATATCTCTCTGTGTGTGAATCATATCTATCTATCTATATCTATGGCTGGATGGCTTTGTCAGGAGGACTTTGATTATGTTTTCTTGCCCTGATGAAGGGAGTTGGACTGGATGGCCTTAAGTATTTTCTGTTGGTCATGGGGGTTCTGTGTTGGAAGTTTGCCCCAATCCTGTCGTTCGTGGGGTTCAGAATGCTCTTTGATTGTAGGTGAACTGTGAATCCCAGTGACTACAACTCCCAAATGTCAAGGTCTATTTCCCCCAAACTCCATCTGTGTTCATATTTGGGCGTAATGAGTGCTTGTGCCAAGTTTGGTCCAGATCCATCATTGTTTGAGTCCACAGTGCTCTCTGGATGTAGGTGAACTACAACTCCCAAACTCAAGGTCAATGCCACCAAACCCTTCCAGTATTTTCTGTTGGTCATGGGAGTTCTGTGTGCCAAGTTTGGTTCAATTCCATCATTGATGGAGTTCAGAATGCTCTTTGATTGTAGGTGAACTATAAATCCCAGCAACTACAACTCCCAAATGACAAAATCATAATTTTTGGTGATGGTCACTCCTTGTGTTGTGAGACGTTTTGTTGCCAAATTTGGTGTGATTTCGTTCATTGGTTCTTTTGTTCTTAAGGTACTCATTATGCACAGAGCATTTATATATATATAAGATATGCATTTGAAGTTTAGATTTGTGTCCCATTTCATTACGCATATGTAGCTATTCCAGAATCCACTCTCCTAAATTCTGAAATGCAGAACACTTCTGGTCTCAAGCATATCCGATAAGAGATAGTCAAACTGTAGCAGCTTACTGCTTTTGCAGTTTAAATATTCTGAATTTGCAGATTGTTTTCTGATTTGTATATTTACCTTGGATGCTCTGGGCAATCTGCGAGCCTTTCCATTTCTCATTGCCGATCACGTGCCCATGAGGAACGTTCACAGCTCCTGCGCAGACGTGGTTGGCCATGGATGAACTAGCTTTGCTTTCTGAACAAGGTGAATAATACCATGCAACTGGAAAAAAGAGAGAAAGAAGCAAAACTGCATTATTGCAAAAATGCAGTTTTATTTATTTACCGTATTTATATTCCGCCCTTCTCACCCCACAGGGGACTCAAGGCTGATCACAATGCACATATACATGGCAACATTCAATGCCATAGACACACAACATATATAGACAGACACACAGAGACTATTTAACTTTTCAGCTTCATGAGGGTATGCTTTGAATTCCGGCCACCAGTGGAGCTGTTGCTTCACCGTCCACTTGTGACACCGATGCAGTACTTCCTCATTCTTTTGCATGCTGCTGGAGAGTTTTATGACATCATAAATTAATTAAATTAGCTTCCCCGCATAAGCCATACCTACATTTCCTACTTGACAGATGCAACTGTCTTTTGGGCTGCAAGGTCGACAGCAAGCTAAACAAATGGTCAGGAGCTTACTCCAACCTGGGCTGGTTTCGAACTCATGACATTTTGGTCAGTAGTGATTTTAATGCAGCTGACTCCCAACCAGCTGCGCCACAACCTGGTCAGGAAGAGAATGCTGCTGAAACATGGCCATATAGCCCAAAAATTCACAGCAATGTATTGTCGAAGGCTTTCATGGCTGGAATCACTAAGTTCTTGAGGGTTTTTTCGGGCTATATGGCCATGTTCTAGAGGCATTTCTCCTGACTTTTCGCTTGCATCTATGGCAAGCATCCTCAGAGGTAGTGAGGTCTGTTGGAACTGGGGAAAGTGGTTTATATGTCTGTGGAATGACCAGGGTGAGACAAAGGACTTTTGTCAGTTTGGCTAGGTGTCAATGTTTCAACTGACCACCTTGATTAGCATACAATGGGCTGACTGTACCTGGAGCAAACTCTTCTTGAAAGGTGATTAGATGTCCCTGCCTGTTTCCTCTCTGCTGTTTTTGCTGTTGCAATTTTAGAATTTTTTAATACTGGTAGCCAGATCTTGTTCATTTTCATGGTTTCCTGTTGAAATTGTCCACATGTTTGTGTATTTCAATGGCTTCTCTGTAGGAGTCTACCGTGTATCATGCAGCTGTGGACAAGTCTACATAGGGACCACCAAACACAGCGCCCAAACAAGAATCAAGGAACATGAAAGGCACTGCAGACTACTTCAGCCAGAGAAATCAGCCATAGCAGAGCACCTGATGAACCAGCCTGGACACAGCAGATTAGCTGAGAACACAGAAATGCTGGACACCAACAACCACCATGTCAGACTACACAGAGAAGCCATTGAAATCCACAAGCATGTGGACAATTTCAACAGAAAGGAGGAAACCATGAAAATGAACAAAATCTGGCTACCAGTATTAAAAAATTCTAAAATTGCAACAGCAAAAACAGCAGAGAGGAAACAGGTAGGGACATCTAATTACCTTTCAAGAAGAGTTTGCTCCAGGCACAGTCAGCCATTGTATGCTAATCAAGGTGGTCAGTTGAAACATTCACACCTAGTCCAACTGACAAAAGTCCTTTGTCTCACCCTGGTCATTCCACAGATATATAAATTCATTTTCCTATTTCCAACAGACCTCACTACCTCTGAGGATGCTTGCCATAGATGCAGGCGAAACGTCAGGAGAAAATGCCACTAGAACATGGCCCTATAGCCCGAAAAAACCCTCAAGAACTTAATTCACAGCAACCTAACGAAAGATCATTTTCTTTTATTAAAGCTGATAGCTTGAAGCCCTTTGAGAGCCCTTTCTCATCCATGGCCCAATGAGGTAGAATCATGGGAGTTGTAGTCTTTATATTCTTACAGCAACCCGAACCAGCTCACCTCAGCGCCTCCTTTTGGAAAAAGCGCGCGCCGTCTCCTCTCGACCAATCACATTCCAGAGTTCCTCGTCGTCCTCCCGCCTCCCTGGCGGAGAAACATAGGAAAAGGGGCGGGGCTTAAAGCTTGACGGCTGTCCCTGGATAGCTCGAGCTTCGATTGGAGGAGAGGGCGCCTGGCGGTAGCCAATCGGCTCGCGGCTTGTTTTGGGGCGGTTGCTAAGCGGGAAGCGTCTGATCTTTTTTCCTGGTGGGACAGGCCTCGGCGGCCTTGCTCTTCCAACTCTCTTCCGCCTTCGTTATCATGGCGTTTGTCTTCAGGAGAAGCCGCAGGAGCCAGTTTGTGAGTATTCGCCGCCGTGAGGCCGGGGGCAGAGGAGGCCCGAGGTCAGCCTTGGCTTCTCCGCTGAAGAGAAGGAAAGGGAACTACTACTAGGCCCAGAGGAGGAAAGTAGGCCTTGGTTGCCATGGCGACTGGGCGTTGGTTGCCATGGCGACTGGGCGGCGCCCCTTGGAAGAGCTCCAGGCCGCGCATACAGAAGAAAATAATAATAATAATAATAATAATAATAATAATAAGGGAATAATCCTTTTTTTAAGAAACCCATTCAGGGTAAATTCCTAGGATGCATTAATAATATAATATAATAATTGTATGTTATATATTACATGTAATATTAGTAATAATATTGCAATATAGTGTTTCAGAAAAACATGACCTTTTAGAGATCATATAACCTTTTAGAAAATGGCATTCATAACCTTTTAGAGAAGAGCTAAAAACCCTAAGGTGTGTATCTGCGTATGCTGAACACATGGTCGTAAGTAAACCAAATATGTTATTTTTTTACCAAAGTCTACTTTAATTTGTCTCTTGAGTGTGTAATATAAAACAAGTTGTTTGATGGGAGAGTAGATATATATTTTGGGCACTGAAAAACACTTCTGAAGAACTGCTATTTTTATGCACTGGCATATTTTCTGTTTCCTAACAGATCACAGACAGCAGGTCATTCAGTCTAACAATTAAAAATATGCTGGACACAACATATTATTTGAGAACACAGAAATGCTGGACCACAACAACAACCACCATGTCAGACTACACAGAGAAGCCATTGAAATCCACAAGCATGTGGAGAATTTCAACAGAAAGGAAGAAACCATGAAAATGAACAAAATCTGGCTACCAGTATTAAAAAACTCTAAAAATTACAACAGCAAAACAGCAGAGAGGAAACAACCAGGCACATCTTAACACCTCTCAAGAAAAGATTCCCCCAGGCTCAGCCAGGCCTTCTAATGCTAATGAAGGTGGTCAGTTGAAACATTCACACCTAGCTCCAGCAGAGAAGAGCTCTTTGCCCCACCCAAGTCATTCCACAGATATATAAACCCATTTTCCTAATTCCAACAGACCTCACTACCTCTGAGGATGCTTGCCATAGATGCAGGCGAAACGTCAGGAGAAATGCCTCTAGAACATGGCCCTATAGCCCGAAAAAACCCACAAGAACCGAGTGATTCCAGCCATGAAAGCCTTCGACAATACAGTATAGCAAATTAAGTTCAATGTATTGGCGAAGGCTTTCATGGCCGGAATCACTGGGTTGTTGTAGGTTTTTCAGTCTATATGGCCATGTTCTAGAGGCATTCTCTCCTGACGTTTCGCCTGCATCTATGGCAAGCATCCTCAGAGGTAATGAGGTCTGTTAGAACTAGGAAAATGGGTTTATATATCTGTGGAATGACCAGAGTGGGACAAAGGACTCTGTATGTTGGAGCTAGGTGTGAATGTTTCAACTGACCACCTTGATTAGCATTTGATGGCCTGAGGATGCTTGCCATAGATGCAGGCGAAACGTCAGGAGAGAATGTCTCTAGAACATGGCCATATAGCCAGAAAAAACTTACAGCAACCTAATAAAAATGATGACAATGCTATGGAAAATGGACTATGGACAGGCTTCGGACTAAGTTGTTGATTGTAGAACTCGGATTTAGATATGGCCAACCAATTCAATTTGCCCTATTTTAAATGGTTTTTAATTTACATTACTGTTTCACCTATTTTGTAACTGTTGTTTTATCTGTTTGTATATGGGGGGCATCGAATTGTTGCCAGCTGTAAGCCACCCTGAGTCCCCCTTTGGGGGTAGAGAAGGGCGGGGTACAAATATTTTAAATAATAAATAAATAAATAAATAACAACTGAAGCCTATTGCCTTGCATAATTACATTTGGTTGTGTACCATTTGAGAAGATTCTACTCAAACAGGTTTTTGGCTCTTCTATAAAAGATTGTGATCTCTAAAAGATCTTGCTTTTCTAAAAGGGAAGATTTTTGTTTATGCAAGCCATTAAGCTTCCCTTGTTAGACTGAATGACCTATTGTCTCAGTTCTGTTAGGAGACAGAGAATATGCCAGTGCATAAAAATAGCAGACTTCGGAAGTGTTTTTCAGTACCCAAAATAAATATCTCCTCTCCCATAAAACAACTTGTTTTATATTATGCGCTCAAGAGACAAAATAAAGTAGACTTTTGTAAAATAAATAAATAACGTGTTTGGTTTACTCACAACCTTCATGTGTTCAGCATATACAGGTACACATCTTGTTAGTCAGTTACAGATACATTTTAGATAGTTTCTGTGCCATCCGGTCAGAACATCGCTCTCAACAAACAGCTGGCCCCTCAGAAGACCGAAGTGTGCGGGGTGGATTGTATGGGGAAAAGCTATAATTTAGGGAACTTGGACCCAAACCATGCAGGACTTTAAAGGTCAAAACCAACACCTTGTACTTTGCACAGAAATTAATTGGCAGCCAGTGGGATGACTTTAGAATAGGTGTAATATGCTCACTGCTAGATGTTCCTGTAACCATAACTATTGTATCATTTTTGAACTGGAAACATTTAAATGAATATTAAAGTAACATATTGAGATAGCAAGGCAGAAGAAAGACATTGCCTCAGATGAGAAGTTAGTGGGATGGCAAGATAAAGAAGTTAGTGGAATAGTTTCATTGTCTGCTTTGAAGGTGGGAGTCCATTTTAACTTTTTTAAATTATAGAATTACTGTTTTTTGGTGACAAGGGCAGAGGAAGTTAGTTTTAATAGACATATTGGTGATATATATGTGACTTACTGGGAAAATGTGCTGTCTTTACAAACTGTCCATCTGAACATGAGGAAGAACTTCCTGACTGTGAGAGCTGTTCAGCAGTGGAACTCTCTGCCCCGGAGTGTGGTGGAGGCTCCTTCTTTGGAAGCTTTTAAACAGAGGCTGGATGGCCATCTGTCAGGGGTGATTTGAATGCAATATTGCTGCTTCTTGGCAGGGGGTTGGACTGGATGGCCCATGAGGTCTCTTCCAACTCTTTGATTCTATGATTCTATGTATAGCGATACTTATATAGCTGGAAAATAAATAAATATAATAATATATGATTTTTTTTTAAAAAAGAAAAGGTTTTGTTCAGTTTCAGAAGAGCAAAGAATTCCCTCATTTTTTATTAGTTCCAAAGAGTCAAAGGTGAGGTATGGTAGCCTTCTAGACATTGGATGCCAGTCCCAATTATCCTTTCACTTTGCCTTTAATGCTGTGTTTGATGAGAGTTCCAGTCTAATGAGATGCAGAAAACAAGTTTCCATGAGGATGACTGCATGCTATACAGCAGAGCTTTCCAAACTGTGTGCCACGACACATTGGTGTGTCGCCTGTAGTGAGAAAGCCTGTCATGAAAGGGCCATTTACACAATTTACTTTTAATTTGTGTATTAATTATCCTATAGCTATTTTAAGTCATAGGTTTTAGTATATTATTGTAATTCTTGCTAGTTAATTTAGTTCATTTGATTTATCCTGATTAAGTCGAGTACCTTCAGGTTTGTTGTGTCCCCATACTACTACTATTACCACCATCACTTCTTCTTCTGTATATCCCACTTTTCTCCCTCAAAAAAAAACTCAAAGGAGCTAACACTAAAATCCTTGCTAGTTAAATAAATTAATTGGATATACCATGGTTAACATGAGTACCTTCAGGTTTGCCTTGTCCTCAAACATTTTTTTAGTATTAGTATTTATAGCCCACTTTTTCTCCCTCAAAGAAGACTGCAGGCAGCTAATGCTCTTACAGTTTAAGTGTGTGTCTGTATCTATTATAAGGAGTTGGTTTAACCTCCAGTTTCCTAGTAAAACTGAGTGACTGTGTCATGAAATGATGCATGTCTAAAAAGTGTGTCACCAACATGAAGTGTTGGGAAAGCTCTGCTGTCCAGTATATAAAGTTAATTGACTGTGAATTCTGTGGGGTCTGGGTTTTTTTTAGTCCCTTGATGTATCCAAAGTACCTTTTTCAAGCCTGTTCCTGGACTCAAAAAGTGGTCCCATTCAACTCTATTAAGGAGAATTGTGGTTGTATACACGTGTAATTAGAAGGAAGCCCCACTGTCCTTAGAGTGAAGGAAACATGCTCTTGATGGTTGATGTGCCAAAGATATAGCTGTGGTATTTTCCAAGCCATTTATTCCCCTGGGCATTTCTGATCATGATCTACTATTCTGTACAAGTGTCACATTCTCCATCACACATTTTCTTAAAACTATGGGGAGTATTCAAAGCAGTTTGTGATATAGAAATAGAGTTGGCTATTTATGAGTGGAATATTTTTATGTGCATGCAGGGTCTTTGGATCTGATTCCAGAAATTGGATTTTGATACTTTCAAATAAATTTATCTAGCCCTCACTATCTGTACACTATTATGGAGATGCTATATTTTAGAATATAGCCTTCCAGAAGTTCCACTGTAATTCCCACATTCTTCACTGTTGAGCATGGCTAGAGCTGGTGGGACTTACACTTAAACAACACCTGGAGAACGGCATTAATTCTACCTCTTGTGATAAAAAAACTTAGGATCGAAGAGTTTTAATTTTAAAAATGAAATGTTATTCAACAAGTCTTAAATTAAGGATTTTGTACATGAATATTTAGATGGTATGTTATCATATTTGCATTAATGTTCAGTATTGAACACTGTTCTATTGCTGAAGAGACATGACCGCAGGTACTCTAGTGAAATGTTGCTGAGACAATGGAGCAGGGTGTAAATCTTACTAGCTAAAAGGCTCTTGAATGTTTTCATGTAGTGAATTCTAATGACATTAAAATCATATGTAGAGTTAGATCCATTGGGCCTGGTGCATACATTAATTTACATCTTAATGTTCTCCCATGCTGTATTATTTTCTCAGTCCTTTTGCATGCATAGACTTGTGTTTTTTCTCCATTGTGTTAGTTCATTACCAACTAACTTTATTTTAAATTATCTAGAAACATATAGCTCATGGCCTGATCCCTGCCGCTACCATAGCTCCTAAAGCTGCCGTTCCCCGCACCCCTCCCCCTCGTAGTCCAAACCCTTCTCCAGAAAGACCCAGGTAGGTTCCAGTGTTTTTCATCACTTAATTGCCATTCATTATATGGAATTAAAACTATTACAAATCTGAATATGTGGAGCGGGAAAATGCATGTCTCTTACTTTGCATGTTGCATTTCCATAAAACATGGCAGAAACATGTAGTTTTGCTTCTTGAAGCCAGATGAAGATGGTATTTAGACATTTGTGTTGATAATTTATGCATACATTTAAATTGTTGTTCTGGGAATACTTAAGAATACTCTGAGCAAAAAAGAGAGCAGTAATCAGAACAGCAAGTTTTGCACAAACATAGATTCATTGTTTTTGAACTATTATTTGTCTTTTATTTCTCTTTCATCCATGAGCTCCTTGACAGATATTGTATGCTTAACTGATTGCTGTAATGTAGAGTATGTGATTTCCACCATGGTGATAATATTCTTAACTACCGCTTGTGGTGTTCCATTCTTCATAGGGTATGTAGGGTATGTTGGCAGGATCACCGTTGAATCCACCTCCTCCAAATTCTTCATATGACGGTTCTAAATATAATTGCCCTCTGTTAGCTCTGGTGTAATGTTGGTAGTGGGTGTGATTATATTAAATAAAATATGGACTATCATGTAATATGATTTCCATATTGCATGATATTCTTTTTCTTCTGGTCCATAAACACATCTGCTCTTTATTAACTACTAAAGAACTAGTCATAACAAAAAACACGTTCTACCACTTTGAGCTCCCTCCTTCTCAACTGTTCTCCTTTTTGATTTTTTCCAAGACTTCCGTCATGTCATGCTTAGAGCACATGCTATATTCATTTTTCTCTAGTCGCCATTCATGTGTAAATTCCCCATTTTTCTACATCTGATGTTCACTCTTCATGCACATTCCTAAACATCCTTACCATCTAACATAATATAGTAAAGGTAATGGTTTACCCTGACCTTAAGTCTAGTCGTGTCCGACTCTGGGGGGTGCTTCTCATCTCAATTTCTAAGCCAAAGAGCCACCATTGTCCGTAGGCACCTCCAATGTCATGTGGCTGGCATGACTGCATGGAGCACTGTTACCTTCCCGCCAAGGCAGTACCTATTGATCTACTCACATTTGCATGTTTTCAAAGTGCTAGGTTGGCAGAAGCTGAAGCTAACAGCAGAAGTTCACCCCGCTCCCTGAATTCGAACCACCGACCTTTCGGTCAGCAATTTCAGCTGCTCGACGGTTTAACCAACTACACCACCAGGCAGAACGGGTTAAACTGTAGTGCAATGCATAAACACAATATCCCAGGATAGTTCCCTAATATTATAATTAGAAGTCACTAATAATATAATTTAAATTATGCCTTTGCTAATTTGGAAGTGTTGAGACAATGCTGTTGTTGCACAAATTAGTTCTGTTGTCAAGATCAATGGCCATCTCCCCTCCCCGCTTCCTAGATCAGACATGTATAAAACGTCTTCTCCATGCATAGAACTCCTCTATGCAAGTCAAGTTCTGGTGTTAGGTAATATCTGGATTAAGAAAATCTAGAAGTCGTTGTGATGTTGGAAAAGGGCATGGGCATAGTTCTCATTCTTGGTCTACTTATTGATTACTTCTTAGACAAAGACAGGTGTGTATGAGTGGTCTCTGATTGGAACATGGCCTACCATGGGTTTTATTTGTACTCTTCTAGTAAACATTGAACTTGTTTATGCTTGGCATCCATATCTTAGAGTCATAGGTAATCATGGGTTTTCAGTATTTTTCATTCATGTGGTCTTCACTGTGTTTAATTGTTTCCCTCCTGCCATATCAAATACAAGGGAGAGCCCACAGTTTGCATGAAGCTTGGTATGCACAATTGAGTTGCTGTAATGTGTCTTAAATCTACAATTCAGGAACTCCTGTGTACATTGGCATAGCTTGGTATAAAATATATCAGGAAATGTTTTCAGGGCTGCTTTCCAGAAACCGATAAGGGGAATGCTCTGCTATATATAGATATATGAGCCAATTGTACAATTATATAATTTTATGTTTAAGCTCCTGACAAAGTGATATTAACCCCCTGCTAAAGTGTTGATCAGTAGGAAATGCTTCAAATAATCCATTTTAATTGCTGTACTTAATAGATCTGCATTGGCAGCGGCTATTCTTGTGACAACTCTGACTGGGCGGACCGTTGCCATCCCTCAGCCTCGTCAGCGCTCTCTTTCTGAAAGTGATGCCAGTAGTTTACAGGATCGAGAAAACTATATTCAGCCATATGCCACAGTCACTGAGCTGCGAATGGGGTAGGATATGTTACATGTTTTGACAGTTAGAACTGTTGGAAAAGAACACTTTTTGCCTTTAGTGACAAGAGTCTAATCATTCGACTTTATGGCTCACTTCAGATATAATGATAAATGTGAGCAAGATGGCATGTGTATCCCCCATCWTCCTTTTTATATGCCAGATATTYAAAGCATAAGGTTTTAGTCTCAAAACTTGCTGTGATTCTGCTGTGAAGAAATGAACAATCGGAATACTTTATCCTGGCTTCCTACCAGTAAGGACCCACTACTACAGTGTTTCTCAGCTTTGGGGTTGGGACCCCGGGGGGGGGGTCATGAGGGGATGTCAGAGAGGTCGCCAAAGACCATCAGAAAACACAGTATTTTGTATTGGTTATGGGGGTTCGGTGTGCGAAGTTTGGCCCAGTTCTATCATTGGTGGGACTTAGAATGCCCTTAGATTGTAAGTGAGCTATAAATCCCAATAACTATAACTCCCAAACATCAAGGTCTATTTCTCCCAAACCCCATCTATGCTCATATTTGGGCATATTGAGTATTTGTGCCAAGTTTGGTCTAGATTCTTCCTTTTTGAGACTACAGTGCTCTCTGAATGTAGGTGAACTACAACTCCAAAACTCAAGGTCAATGCCCACCAAACCCTTTCAGTATTTTCTGTTGGTCATGGAAGTTCTGTGTGCAAACTTTGACTCAATTCCATCATTGGTGGAGTTCAGAATGCTCTTTGATTGTAGGTGAACTATAAATCCCAGCAACTACAACTTCCAAATCACCCCCCCCCCCCCCCCCCCCCGCCAATATCCAAATTCGGGCGTATCAGGTATTTGTGCCAAATTTGGTCCACTGAATGAAAATACATCCTGCATGTCAGATATTTACATCACAATTCATAACAGTAGCAAAATTACAGTTATGAAGTAGCAACAAAAATAATGTTATGGTTGTGGGGTCACCACAACATGAGGAACTGTATTAAGGGGTCGCGGCATTAAAAGGGTTGAGAAACACTGCACTACTAGGTCCTATAAATGACAATGGTCTTTTCTCCCACCCTGCAACATTATCCACCAGAACTTTGTACTGAGCCGTAGCAAGGCTGCCCGTGTGACATTTGCTTTCAGCCTATGAACATTCTGTACAGCCACACATTCTTCATGATGCTATCACTCGAGAAACTGTGTTTCCTTAAACTATCATTTGAAGTACTTATGAATCATTGCAATCATGGTACAAAGAAAAGGTGGTTTGTTCTGTTTGGATGCCACAGGGAATATAGTCAGTGTTAGAAAAAAATAAAAGGAGAAGCTTTTGACTCAAGTTGTGAAAGAAGAGGAGAAACAAGAGAAGTACACACATTCAAACCTTATAAACATCCATGGTTTTTTGAGGAGTTGTAACAAAGCTGTGATAGAGTGCAACACAATGACAGTAGATTCTTTTGAATCCTTACTGGAATTGGACCTTTTCACACATTAGAATTTATGTCAAAATTGTTGCTACAGATCCAGAAATAGTTTCCAAGATAAAAGTCCATTTGAAGGTTTGCTGATTGTAAGGTGTTTTCTGCTTGCAGTCCAAGCTGGAAACGTGATGGTGATGAAAGGAGTGCTGTGCAGTCTTTTGAAGTATCTGCCAGTTGCTGTGATGATGAAGACATGGACACATATGCATCAGACACAGAAAAAGAACGAGATCCAGTCCATCAGAGTACTGATACAACAGAAAGCTTTAGTAGCAAGGCATTATATGCTGTTCCACATAAAGTTAAAAAGGTAAGTTTTCAGGTGCACATTGTTGTCAGTTCAAATGGTAAAAAATGTAATTTCTTATATATTTTTTCAGTTGGATGACAGTCTTAATATAGTTCTTATCTTCTGTCTTAATCTTGGTATGGGTGAAAACTGGAAATTATTCTAGGCAATGCTGTGTGTGTGTGTAGAACTTGGTAAGTGACATTAGTGGTCAATATCTTGGCTGTGTAAGACATATTACTTAACATGCATACTGAACTCTAGAAATGCAGACTTGCTTTTGTAGACATTGCAAGTTTTATGCTTGCTGTCACCATCTCATACAAGAGAAAAAGATGAGACAATGGTGATAATAAGCTCTATCTTGGAGATAGATGAGGTGGGAAGTGAAGTGTGAGAGAGTGTTGCAGATTAATGGAGCAGCAGAGAAGGAACTAAAACTCTTGCTATTTGTGTACGCCCACCTTAGATTTATGTGCTGTTAATTTGTATTTTTAGTACATGATCTGTGTTCTTGTACCTCATCATGCATGTTGTTCTTCAGAAAGGCTGTGAATTTATAAACTGGGTTTCTGTGAGTTTTCTGGGCTGTATTGCCATGTTTCAGAAGCATTCTCTTCTGATGTTTCACCCACATCTATATAAATTTTATTGCAATTCTTTTTGTTTAGGAAGATCTCCCAGTATCTTCTAGTGCTGATGGGGAAGAAGTTGATTTTTCTGTTAATGAACCTGCTCATCTCATTCATCCAAATGTTCAGGTGGAAGGTAGGTTTACTTTTTTTTACCTTATTGGTGTAACATTTTCAAGAGTAAGCATTCTGGAATCTTCACTCGTATGTGGAATGTGCAACAAAATGTGTCCCCATCCCTTGAAAGATATGCTTTTGTTCATGGCTTCAGCCAACCTGGGTGATGTGGGACTTGTGTAAATGAGAGAGGTGCTTTGAAAAAAAGGGTGGAATAAAAGGCATCTTTTCTTCCTCTCATACAATCCCTCTATAGCTGTGTTTGGCTGCGAGACCCAAATCCAAACTGTTTATAGCTATATACTGGAGGAGAAAGCAATTGCACAATTTCCCCTCTTTCTTTGCACTCCATCCTCCTTCCCTCCATTTCCAGCCACAGTAATTGATGCATTTAGAAGCCCTAAATGGTTTTTCTATAGGTATGTTTGGGCTCACATAATGTGTAGGAAACAATGATATGTGTGATTGTTGGCTTCCAATGTGTTCATGTGGTTCAGCCCCTTCCCCTCTGCTTCTAATTTTAGCAAGTTTAACACAAATTTGTGAATGACAGTTCTAAGCATATTGAGCTAAATATGCTTTAAGACTGCTACAAAATAAGGAACCTTATGTTAAAGTTTAAATGTCACTCTATATTCTGACTTTCCTGATTGTGGAAAGAAGAAACTTTTTGCAGTTGCATGTGTTGATCTTCTTGCGGTCCAAGGCACTCTGAGAATTTTCCTCCAGCACCACAGTTCAAAAGAGCCTATCTTCCTTTGCTCAGCCTTATGTTCCAGCTCTCACATCCATAGGTTACTATGGGGAATACCATTGCTTTAACTATGCAGATCTTTTTTTAATTTAATTGTAGTAGTAATAATAAAAATAATCAACAATACATCCATATTAACAAAATTTATACAACCCAACATATAAACACGAATTATAACTTAACAAACTAAAATTAAATAAAGAGCACAGCCTGTTATAACAGACATAAGACACAATATCAAACATCGAATGGAAACGCCCTAGGGCTGAGAGCGGCGGTCAACAAATGCAGCAAATAAACAATAATTTCCCTGTACGTAGAATGTGTTATGACTGTAAACAGAATGTTAATTTAATTTCCATTAATTCAATGTTAATTGGAGTTATCACAGACAAACAAATGAAACGCTTGATTGGTGAATTCATGTCAAAGAGAAAGAAAAATAAATAGGAAGGAAGTTAAAGTTTCAGTTTTCAAACTTAGTCTGCTGTATTTCTTCTCCCTTACCTTAGAATACTTCAAAAATGTGTGTGTTGTTTGTTTTTTGTTTAACAACCTGCAAATAATATAATCTCTTTTTACAGAGCTTGACCACTCCGGGCCAAATTTGAAGGTAAGATCAGCATAAAGATGCTCAAATTGATTGTTGAAAAAATGAATTTAAAGGTCTGCTTGTCTATTTTCATTCCAGCTTTCTCCATGAAGCCCATGAGAGCATTCTTGCCCTTTTTTCTGTTCCCTTTATGCTCAAGACATCACTGTGAAGTAGTTAAGACCAGATTTAGTCTGGCTTGCTTTCCTAGAAATGTAGATTGAGATTATATTGAGTTCAGTTCCTTCTGTATTTGGAACAAATGTAGAATCACATCTAAATGGGTGACAGCAGAATATGCTTTCATTCAATAGTGAGCTGCCTGCATTACGTTCTATCCAAAATTGCCCTTTAAAGCAGAAAAGGGAATTTAAAAGAAGGCTTGATACGCAAGTCTCATCTACATGGGAAAACTTTTTTTAAACCCCTTTCCAAGAGCATGTCCTACATTTTCACATCTTTAAATGTATAGTGTAGATTTGAAATACTGTATATACTCAGGTATAAGCCGACTTGAATATAAGCTGAGGCACCTACTTTTACCACAAAAAACTGGGAAAACTTATTGACTTGAGTATAAGCCGAGGGTGGGAAGTACAACAGCTACTGGTAAATTTCAACATAAAAATAGATACCAATAAAATTACATTATTTGAGGCATTAGTAGGTTACATGTTTTTGAATATTTACATAAAACTGTAATTTAGAATAAGACTGTCCAACTCTGATTAAACCATTATTCTAACCTTCAATGTAAATGTGCTTATGTATCTTTCCAATAATAATAGAGTAAAATGAGAAATGTACTACTACTACTACTACTAATAATAATAATACTAATAGAATAGAATAATGGAAGTGTAATAATAATAATAATAATATAATAATAATAATAATAATAATAATAATAATAGAGTAAAATAATAAATGTAGTAAAAATAAAAGTAAAAAAATAAAAACCTTGACTCGAGTATAAGCCGAGGGGGGCATTTTCAATCTAAAAAAGGGCTGAAAAACTTGGCTTATATTCGAGTATATATGGTATGTGGAATTCCAACTTTTACAAAGACATACTTTTCCTTGTGATTTCTATTCTTTTTATTGGTGTTACATTTTGAAAAACCAGTGGACTGCAAATGATTCTGTAATATGCTTCTGAGGTTAGTGAAGTTAAAATAGAATACAAATAGTTTATAATTCTTACAAAACAACTTGCCCTCCCTTTTTTTCCTCCACCTTTTTTCAATTTTCTTGATTTTTCTTCCTTCCATATGTCATTTGTTTATAATCTTGTTTTTGCTCATGTTGTATCAATGTTTCAATAAAATAAAGGAACAAATCAACATTCTAATTTCAAGAAATTACTTTTTAAGTGTTCAGCCTATTCTTTTTAGAGTGGTTACAAAAGAACCTTTTTAGAAGAGGAGGGCAGCAATAACAGTTTAGCTTGAATTATTTTCTTTTCCTTTATAGATGGAAAGAACCTCATCTGACAATCCATTGAGTGAAAAACCACCACCAGCTCCAGGTACTAACTTTGTGTGTGAGTGTGTGTGATATTGAATATTATGGACTGATTTTAATCAGTAAAATCATGGTACAGCATCACAGGGACAAACCTTACTATGTCTTCAACTTGTAACGTGGTTGCCTCTAGCACAGTTATGAAGTTGAGATTGAAGTTCTGCTTTTTGTGTTGTACTGACTGGAGTGAATTGTCAAGTTTGTGGTTGATGGAAACTTGACAACTTCCAAACATAGTTTATAAAGCCGTCTTGTTTGTAGGTTACTGTGGGGTTTTTTCGGGCTGTATGACCATGTTCCAGTAGCATTCTGTCCTACTGCCAATGGAGGAGAGGATAGTACTGGAGCATGGCCATACAGCCCAAAAGCCTCACAGCAACCCAGTGATTCCAGCCATTAAGGCCTTTGACAATACATTGTCTTGTTTGTATTAGCCATAGTTTGGGATTTAGAGATAACACTAAACTGTGGCTAATTAAAATCTAATTCTAGATTGTGAACAAGGAGGAACAGTAAAAATGCAAACCTGAGGTTTCCTGTGTCTTGTCTTCATCATTCTCTAGGCAGTTTCACAAATTGGCCTGTGTATTTGCTTCAGAGCACAGCACTTCAATAATAAATTCAATAATAAATAGAGTTGCAATTGATTTTCGTGGAACACACTTGTTTTTCTAATATAAAAATGATCTTTGGAAATAAGAAGAAGTTTAGTTATTGGGAGGAGATAGTTTTCTGCTAATTAAAAGTTTTCTGGTCATCAAAACAAATTCACAATCAGGTATTTTCCGGCCTTTGACATTATATAAAAATTGGGGAGAAACTGATGGTGCATTAAACTGGACCCCCTCCCTGTGTAAGCAGGTCTGTAGCTGTTAATTCTTTGTTGTGGTCTCTGTGAATCACACAAATGGCTTTTGCACAATCATAGATCTTCTGGGTTGCTGTGAGTTTTCCGGGCTGTATGGCCATATTCCAGAAGCATTCTCTCCTGATGTTTCCCCTGCATCTATGGCAGGCATACTGAGAGGTTGTGAGGTCTGTTGGAAACTAGGAAAGTGGGGTTTATATATCTGTGGAATGTCCAGGGTGGGAGAAAGAACCCTTGTCTGTTTGAGGCAGGTGTGAATGTTGCAATTAGCCACCTTAATTAGTGCTTAATGGCCTTGCAGTTGCAAGGCCTGGCTGCTTCCTGCCTGAGGGAATCCTTTGTTGGGAGGTGTTAGCTGGCACTGATTTATTGTTGTCTGGAATTCCCCTGTTTTTCTTAATTTAATGTTTTCATTTTAGAGTTTTTAAAATACTGGTAGCCAGATTTTGTTCATTTTCATGGTTTCCTCCTTTCTGTTGAAATTGTTCACATGCTTGTGGATTTTAATGGCTTCTCTGTGTAGTCTGACATTATGGTTGTTAGACTGGTCCAGCATTTCTGTGTTCTCAAGTTGGTTCATCAGTTGCTCTGCTATGGTTGACTTGAGTTAGTCTGCAGTGCTTTTCATGTACCTTGATTCATGTTTGGGTGCTTCGTTTGATGGTCCCTATGTAGACTTGTCCACAGCTGCTTGGTATATGGTAGACTCCTGCATAGGTACTCTCTCAGAACATTCCAGAGCAGAGTGATTTCAGCAGATACCTTCATTGACATCAGTTACCTGGTTGTCATCAGTTCTCTATTATTCTAAGTCTTTCTTCTGGGAAGTATATTTGTAGACAAATATACTTAGGAGAGCAGGTTTTTTTTAATCAGCTGGCTTAAATATTTGTGTGACTGAACAATATTCCATTCCATTTCATGGGTAGTACTCCATAAAACACCAGGAGAAGTGCTTCTGAAATTGAAAGAAGAAAATTGGCAGTTGAGCAACACAAGTCAGATTCTGTTTTCACAACTCGAGGAGACAAAGCAGCAATTAAAGGAACTCCAATTGAAAGTTAAGAAGCTGGAGAAAGAAAATCGGCAATTGGAGAAAGACAATAGAAAAGAAACTGCACAGAAGTCTCGCAGTGAAGGTAAGAGTGAACCCATTATACATTTGGCTCAGGGATCACTTAAGTGTGGTTCTCCAAATGTTGGACTGAAACTTCCATCTTCCTTAGGCAACATATCATGGGGAGTTCTGAGGATTGCAACCTGATGATGTGAATTCTCATGAAAACGGAAAGTGGTCTATGTATCTAGAAATTGCTAGTGAAATTCTTTATTTGTGACCATGGAAACATGTTCAAATCCCTGGAGATGGCATGAGTCCATACATGAATTGAATTTTAAGATAGTAGCTCCAGCGTTGCATACCTAATGAGCCATAGAGTTAGGAAATTGGTCTCCTTTCTGTATCCACAAGAATTCACACACCTTCTGCTCAGAGCTTATTCCCTGTCTTGTGTTCCGAATCAAAATCTGGTTAGGATGATTACCTTCTGACCTCTAAGCTTTTCTGTGTTGTTCTCTACTTAGTAGTGAAAGCTGAATTTGGTATGTAATACAGGTAGGAAAATCTCTTATTGTAGAGAAGGCAAGTTTGTCTGGCTTGCTGGAGAAACAAGTTTCTCTTCATGCTGTAAGATCCTCTTTCTCTGTAGATCTCTTTGAAAGCATTCTTGTGAAATACAATATCTCCAGTCTTCATGGCAGCAGTTGAAATGTCCTCACCCAACCTTTAATTCAAATATTTGGAGTACAAGATCTTTAGAAGCATATTATAAAATATCAAGAAAGTTTATTAGGCGTTATCTTTGATCCTTCCATGCCTAAGAAAGAAATTAAAGAAACAGTAGTTCTGGTACATAAAAAGACTTCATGTTAAGATCATGATTTTTTTCCATATTGTTCCATCCATTTGTGTTTAAATTGTAGAAATGTACATTTTGAGGATTTAAAAAAAGAATGCTGAGGTATAATCTTTCAGATTTTTGTCTGCCATATGTTTCTCCTTCATATTTGTATAATTTTATAAGCACATTATGTGTATGTATGTGTTGCTGTTCAATTTATTAGGCAGTGTAGGATGCAGTTTTGAGAGACTGGGGCATTGTGGGAAAAAGAAAGCCTTTTTACTAGATTAGTGCATTGTAGAATCTGTATATATTACATCATTTCAAAGTAATGACTTCCACCTTGGGTCCACAGGATGTTTCAGACTTCAACTCTATGATTAATGGTTGAAATCCACATCTTGTTATGCCAGTATTTTATGTGACTTTATGCAGTTATAAGATCCTTAGACTAGTAATATTTCACAGCATTTTGAGATTTTGTTAGACATGGGATGTTTGAAAAAATCAGCAAATTGCTTCTATAGTTCTTAGACTCTTTTTATTTTTGTTTAATTTAGAGGAACTTGCAGAATTGCTTTCATTAAGACAACAGGCCCAGGAGCTAGTGGATGAAAATGACAGCCTGAAAATGACAGTTCATCGTTTGAATGCAGAATTGAGTCGATACCAGACAAAATACAGACTACTTTCACCAAGTGAGGTAATGTGTGGTTTTAAGCTTGAAGGTGAAAAAAGAAGTCTGCTGTTCAGTCAATTGTATGTGAGAGTCCTTTCATAAACAAGGGTGCTCATTTGTGTGTTTGTACTGCTGTGTCAGAATTTCCCTCCATTCGGACTGTTCCAAAGATTTATAAGCTATGATTAATTATAAATTATTTGAAGAATAATTTGCGGTTTACGGGTTTTTCAAAATGTAACACCAATAAATAGAATTTGACGTCATTTGATCTGTTATCTGAGATGTGCTTCTTCTACATGGTCTCTGTGAAATACGTCACTGATATTTTTTGCGTTCACACAGTTGTTCGGATTGTTCTTAAAGCTTGTTCAATTAGGGACTCCAGCCCCACCAAGATATAATCAGGCAGCAGGGCTTGAACCCTCAGTTCCTTTTGTATGCGAAAGCAGCAGTTACGCAGGGTTCTCTATTTTTTTAAACGACTATCGGTTTTGACCCTTACCTCAGATTCCATAAGGATAAAGTGGTACTCCATACTGACATTTCATTTCTACCCAAGGTTGCATCACAGTTTCACATATCTCAAGACATTGTTCTTCCCACTTTGTTTCCAGACCCATCTGTGCCTCTTGAGCGTTCACTACATCTTGATATAAGCAGGGCCCTTGCTTTTTACCTACACTGCACCACTCAGCTGTGGAAGTCACCAAGACTTTTTGTCAAATACCGTAAAAACACTATGGACCTTTCTGTATCATCTCAGAGATCGGCATCATGGATCGTCTCCACTATCCGTCTAGCATATCAGTTGGCAGGGCTGGACTTACCTGTTTAGATCCATGCACATTTCACTTGAGCAATGGCTATGTCTATGATATTCTTGCATGGTGTGCTACTGGATGACATCTGTCGGGTGGCCATTTGGTTGACACCACACACATTCATCCCCCACTACAAACTGGATTTTGTGGCCAAGAGGCATGCAGCTTTTGGGAGAGCAGTTCTTTTTTCTGCACTGGCATGATGCTCACCATCCATGGGACAACTCACTAGTCTACCACAGGTGCATATTTCACAGAGACCAGGTAGAAGGAAGTAAGGTTGTTTACCTTTAACCATGTTTCTTCTAGTGGTCTTCTGTGAAATTCGCTCAACCGGCCCACCCTCCCTGCATTTTGTCATGCCTTAGTATGCGGCTGCTGCTTGTGGTATGGAACTGAGGACTCAAGCCCCGCTGCCTGATTATATCTTGCTGGAGATGGGTGGTGCTGGAGTTCCTAATTGAACAAGCTTGAAGAACGCTCTGGACAGCTGTGTGGACGCAGGAAATACCACAGGTGCGACTTTCACAGATGACCGCTCGAAGAAACATGGTTACAATAAGCAGACTTACTTTTTGCTGTGCCTGTAGATCAAGCATGGGCAAACCTTTTTGCCCTGGGGCCACATTGCAGGCCTAGCTAGGTGGGCTGGGCCAGGAAGGAGCACCGGGTGGGTGCGGGAGGGGGCAGGGCCAGGGGCAGATCACTATCAGGTTTTCCTCCCATCATAAGAATGGGGCTGCTTGCTCCATCCTTATGCTTGGAGGGTGAGGCTTGGGAAGTCCCTCGGCCCCTGCCTGTCTCTTCCTTCTGTCAGCATCGGGACATGGCCTCACTTCATCCTGGTGCTGGGAGAAGGGAGAGGCAGCTTTGAAGCTGCTTTGCCCACCACTTTCCTCTCTGTCCAGGTTGGGCTTCTCCTCACCTTGTCCTGAGGCTGGGAGAAGGGAGATGCAGGCGGCGGGTGAGGCAGCTTTGGAGCTGCCTTGCCTGCCGCCTGCCTCTTCCCTTGTGCCAGGCATCAATAATAATAATAATAATAATAATAATAATAATAATACTTTATTTGTACCCCGCTACCATCTCCCCAAGGGACTCGGTGCAGCTTACATGAGGCCAAACCCACAACACATACAATAAACAAAAGCAATAACAATAATCAATACAAAACAGTTAAAATAAACTCAAAACATAAAATACACAATAAGCAATAACAATAACATATCGCAGCATACAGCATTTAAAAACCTATGGCCAAGCCAAATGTAATAATTCAAATTTAAAATCAAAAAGTGCTGGGCATGAACCAGATAAGACAAATTAAAATAGGGTTTTCAGAGAAAGATGAGGGCGCACAGACAACCCTGAATCAATATTAAAGTGCATTTGAGGACACATTGCTAAGAGTTTTCCTTATTCTGGGAAGGCACACTGGAACAACCACGTTTTCAGGCTCCTCCTAAAGACTGCCAGCAACTGAAGACTGCTTGCACATGGCGACTGAAAAGCAGGCAGCCACATCCTTATGCTCAGAGGATGGAGGAAATTTTAAGGGCCGGCCTTAAGGGCCCAGAGGCCCATGGGCATTAGTTTGCTCATGCTTGCTTTAAATGTATCTTGAAGTGTCAAAAATATTTTTCAAAATCAAAACAGCTTAAGGAGAAGGAAAAAAAAGAGCCTCTTCAGATCCATGCTCTTCTTGTGCGCAGCATATAATGGAGGTGACAGAGCTAGCATGCTCTTCTCTCTTCCATATTCCACTTGACCCTTCCCTGAATAGGGCTCGTTTGTTTCATTTCTGTCTGAATCAGCCAAGGATAATACTTAGTGGCTTCAAATCCTGACATGTGCTTTTATTATCTTAAAGAGTCCAAAGATGGGAAGTCTGCCAATGAAAAAGCCAATACCACCTTGGCTGGTAAGTGGCAAAGCAATTTGCAAAACTATTAGTTATCTACAATGCACTGCTTATTTATTCCTAGTTATCTTGGTCACTAAAGACACGTTATAGCAGGGGTCCTCAAATCTAAGGCCTGAGGGCCATATACTGCCCTCCAAGGTCATTTACCCGACCCTTGCTTAGGGTCAACCTAAGTCTGAAATGACTTGAAAGCACACAACAACAACAATCCTATCATCATCCAAAAGCATACCCACACTTCCCATTGAAATACTAATAAGTTTATATTCGTTTAAATTGTTTCTCATTTTAATTATTGTATTATTTTCAAGTGTTTTTTGCACTACAAATGAGATATGCGCAGTGTGCATAGGAATTCATAGTTTTTTCAAATTACAATCCGGCCCTCCAACAGTTTAAGGGACTGTGACCTGGCCCTCTGTTTAAAAAGTTTGAGGACCCCTGTGTTATAGCATGTATGTTTAATATTCGGAAGACAGCTATTTATTAAACATTGATACTCAGGATTCAGTTTCAGTATGCCAGTGTTTAATAAGTGATATTTCAATTTATATTGGAAGATAGCAGTGCTTCTTTATTTCTCTCAATCCCACATACATTTTTATGCCTTACATATTTGGCTCTTGACATGTCTTTGCTATGTTCTGTGGATGGCATTGCATTGAAGTAGGTTTCTTCGTCAGGGCAGATAAGTAGCTTGTGATACATATGCCAAGAGTGCTTCAAAACTAATTTAAATATCTTCAAAACAATCTGCTACAATATATGGTAGTCAGAGAGCCCATTTTAGTTCTCTTTTGCTCTAAGCAGCAGGGCTTTTGCTAAGCATTGTTTTTCTTTGAAGTCTGTGACTTCCATCACCAGCCATAAAGTGGAGCTCCAGGAGTTACTTATGTTACTTCTTGGCTTTTTAGACACTTGTTTCAAAATTAACATCACAGTTACTTTCATAAATCAAAATGGGCACTTCAGTAGTTACTATTTCTAGACATGGATGAAAATTTTTCATCTTTATTTACAGATAGCCTTTTCAAGCAGCCTCAAAGGTGTTCTGCATATTTTCTGTTTTCTCATTTTCAAACTGATTATTGGTTAATTACTGAGGTATTTATGGGGTGGTTGCTATTTGTTTCTTCTCTGTTCTGATTTATACACCGGATTATTTGTGTATTTAAAAATTAGTAATAGTTTATTAAAGAATCGTCTTTCAAGCAGGAAAACCATATTTATAATAGTAAGATGCGTGTTTGTTTATTTATTTATTTATTTACAGCATTTATATGCCACCCTTCTCACCTTGAAGGGGACTCAGAGCGGCTCACAAGATATATATACATACAATACATTATATTATTAGCATCATACAATATCAGTATTAAGTATTACTATATTGTACTATACCATTATATTGTAATATTATTAGTAATATTACATGTAATTTAAATATATTATATTTGATTATGTTGATGCAGAAATGAGCTGAAATTTTCCTTTACTTCCTTTAGTTGGATATGAAATATCTGTCACCTCTCTTGTTGGCCTATGAAGACAGAATGAGAGAAAAAGAAGACTTGATTCTTTCACATGAGGCACGTTGGTAAACAAATTCTTTAGAAATGGTCCATTACAGTGTAACAAGAAAAATACTTCTACGCCACACTATATCTGTCTGTCTGTCTGTCTGTCTGTCTATCTATCTATCTATAAATGCTCTGTAGCCACCAAATTTGGCTACAAGATACCTACTAACCCAAGGAGTGACTATCACTCAAAAAAACTGATTTTGTCATTTGGGAGTTATAATTGCTGAGATTTATAGTTAACCTACAATCAAAGAGCATTCTGAACTCCACCAACGATGGAATTGAATCAAACTTAGCACACAGGACTCCCATGACTAACAGAAAACACTAGAAGGGTTTGGTGGGTATTGATCTTGAGTTTTGGAGTTGTGGTTCACCTATATCCAGAGAGAACTGTGGACTCAAAACTATGAAGAATCTAGACCAAACTTGGCATGAATACTCAATATGCCCAAATCTGAACACAGATGGGGTTTGCCTCATGTTTCGCTGTAAGAAGGTCCTCCGTTGTGTATGTGGCAGGGCTCAAATTGCATTGTAGTAAGTGGTCTGTGGTTTGTGTGCCTTGGACGCCATTTTGTAGCCCTATTTCTTAAGGTTGGCTCTGCATCACAGGGTGCCAGAGTGCAGTCTGTTCAGTGCCTTCCAAGTTGCCCAGTCTTCTGTGTAGCCAGGAAGGAGTTTCTCATCCAGTCTCAGCCACTTATTAAGGTTCTGGGTTTTAACCTGCCACTTGATGAGGTGTTCCTGTGAATATTTCTGTAGATCTTAGGAAACTGTTTCTTGATTTAAGGCATTGTTGTGCTGGCTGATATCTGAACAGAGGATGAGCCAGAGATGTCAACGCCTTTCATTACTGGCTGCTACTTCCCGACAAATGTCAGGTGTAATTTATCCCATGGTGTTAGGCATAGACATCCTGTGATAATGCAGCTTGTCTCATTAAGACCACATCTACTGTTTTAATGTGGTGTGATGTATTACACAGTGGGCATGTGTACTCAGCTGCAGAGTTGCAAAGCACAAGGGCACATGTCTTCGCTGTGTCAGGTTGTGGCCTGCAGGTTGTTCCAATCAGCATTCGTATGATATTATTTCTAGCACCCACTTTTTACTTGATAGTCAAGCAATGCTTCTTTTAAGCCAGAGCACAGTCCAGAGTGACTCCCAGATACTTTGGTGTGCTGCAATGCTCCAGTGGGATTCCTTCCCAGGTCATCCTCAGATCTCGAGATGCTTGTCTGTTCTTAAGATGAAAAACACACACCTGCATTTTAGATGGATTAGGAATCAGCTGGTTTTCCTTCTAATAGGCAGTAAGAGGACCTAAAGCTTCAGAGAACTTCTGTTCAACCATTTCAAAGCTCCCTGCTTGAGCTTTGATGGCACGATTGTCATCATAGATTAAAGCAGCGTTTCTCAACCTGGGGGTCGGGACCCCTAAGGGGGTCACCAGGGGGTATCAGCGGGGTTGCCAAAGATCATCAGAAAAAACAGTATTTTCTGTTGGTCATGGGTTTTACCAGAAGACCAGGTTATAAATCAGCATTTCTCAATCTGGGGGTCGGGACCCTGGGGGGTTGTGAAGGGGTGTCAGAGGGGTCACCAAAGGCCATCAGAAACACAGTGTTTTCTGGTGGTCATGGGGATTCTGTGTGGGAAGTTTGGCCCAATTATCTCATTGCTGGGGTTGAGAATTCTCTTTGAGTGTAGGTGAACTATAAATCCCAGCAGCTACAACTCCCAAATGTCAAGGTCTGTTTTCCCCAAACTCCACCAGTGTTTACATTTGGGCATGCTGAGTACTCATACCAAGTTTGGTCCAGAACCATCATTGTTTGAGTCCACAGTGGTCTCTGGATGCAGGTGAACTACAACTCCAAAACTCAATGCCCACCAAACCCTTCTAGTATTTTCTGTCGTGGGAGTTCTGTGTGCCAAGTTTGGTTCAATTCCATTTTTGGTGGAGTTCAGAATGCTCTTTGATTGTAGGTAACTATAAATCCCAGCAACTACAAACCCCCCCCCCCCCCGGCAATCCCACCAGTATATGTGCAGAATTTGATCCAGTGAATGAAAATACATTCTGCCTATCAGATATTTACATTACAATTCATAACAGTAGCAAAATTACAGTTATAATTATGAAGTAGCAACAAAAATAATGTTATGGTTGGGGGTCACCACAACATGAGGAACTATATTAAGAGGCCGCGGCATTAGGAAGGTTGAGAACCGCTGGATTAAATGTTTGTATATGCAAATACAAGTATAATAAAAACTGAAATCCATAACATTTCTGGCCCCAAGCGTTTCAGTTAAGGAATACTAAACCCGAATGGTGATGGGAAACAGAGAATATTAACCTTAAAAGAAAATATCTATTTCTATTTTGTGTTCATTATATTTTCTTTCTTTTTTTCAGGAAGACATGAAACTCTTCAAAGCACAAGTTGAAGAGGTAGTGAAGGAAAATGAACAGTTGTACAAGAAGCTAAATAGAAGTAACTCTGTTACAACCAAACAATGGCAAGTGTATTGTTAATATATGAAACTATTTTGTTACAGTTCAGGAGGGAAAAATCATGATTGGCTTGAACTAAATTAGATCAAGATCCAGATTAATTTGGTGCTCTGATTGTTGTATGTATGTATGCATGATCTGGTTACATACTATGAAAATACAGGATTGTAATTTTATAAAAATAAACAGTATAAAACAGACAGAAAAAGTAACAATCTAGTGATTATTTAAGACATTAAAACATATAAACATAGCACATTAAAAAGAACCACCCCAATATTATCTGTTTGTTTGAATAATGATTTTAAAAACCTTAGCAGCAGAGAAATTATTTTTTCATTTTTTTCAGACTAATTATTCTTAATTATTTGACTGCAACACACACAAACGCATGAACCGCTGGCCCTTGGACTGAAACTATGGCAGCAGCTCTATAGAGCCAGTGGTGGCTAGCACCACCTCCAGCAAACCCATCATTCAGCATAAGGCCCACCCCTTTGGCTAGGTGCTCAGAGAGAGCCCAGAGCCCCAAAGGAACAATTTCATTTCAGCATTTCCTCTTAATGCAGTGGTTCTCAACCTGTGGGTCCCCAGCTGTTTTGGCCAACAACTCCTAGAAATCCCATCCAGTTTACCACAGTTTGAGAACCACTGACTTAATGCTAAGCTGTAGTTAAGCATTCTCTAAACTAACAGACAACCCCCCCCCACACACACACACACACACAAACGTGTGCATTAGGCATGGGCCATCCATAGTTCTAAATGGTTCTAAAGTACTTACAAAACTAGAGGGCGCTGGTGCTTTGCTTCTAAAGTGTTGCTAAAGCTGGTGCTTTTCTTCTAAAGTGTTGCTAAAGTTCTGCTGGTGAAAATTTCAGAACTCTACAAAACTTTAAAAATTTCATTATTGTTTCATTATTGGCGATTTTTATGATAGAATCAATTAGGAACTGCCATTTATGACAAAATTTTGAAAGTTTTGTTACAATTCTGAAATTTTCACCACCAGAACTTTAGTAACATTTTAAAAGCAAAGCACCAGTGCCCCTAGTTTTGTAAGTACTTTAGAACCATGGATTGCCCATGCCTGGTGTGCTTGCATCCATACATACATGCATACATCCATATATTCTTCCATTTAGTGCACCTTTTGTGATAATGTGAGTGGCCTTTCATTTTGAGATCCATGTTCTTTTTAGGCAGCAGCTGCAAAGCCAAGCCAAGCTTGTCTTAGAGGAGAACACAGTGCTGATGGAGCAACTTGAAATACAGCAAGCAAAAGCAAAGGACAGCCTCAGTGAACATATTCAAGAAGGTAAATTACCCCAATTGCAGTTTTAGTGCTCATCTTTTCCAAAGCCTGAAAAGAGACAAATCTATAAGCTGATAGGAAGTGAAAAACTTTTGTAGTTCAATGGAAGTACCGATTATCATGTCTAATTTAAATGATGACTTAGCATTCAGCAATTAATTCAATGTGTCTGCTCTTCTTGGTACTAGTAATAGGATTTAAGCCTTTGTAAGCCTGTTTAGAGTGACAATGGGTATAGTATAGCTAATTAATATCAATTAGATTATTAATTATTTAGTAGAATCTTACCAACATTCTATTCATATTATTGACACTCCAGATGTTTGGTACTTAATATTTAATTCAAAATTATGCTTAGCATTTTGTTCGGTTGCTGGTAAAGTGGAATATCTAATGCATTTGATGATCATTAGACCCTGTTCATGAAAGCCCACCCCTATTTACCAATAAGGTTGTTCTCAACACTTAACCCCTAGCCTTGACCCTATAGTCTGCTTTTCGCATAACTCCATGCCCAGCCCTCTTAGTCTGATCATTCCCTTATCCCTGTTACTGGTTATAGAGTTTGGTTCGATATACTTTTAATGATGTTTTTATACCCAGCTGTGTTTTTAATTGTTTTAATTGGATTGGTATATACTATTATGTTTTAATTGTGTTTTAGTTGGTATATTTTGTTGTATGTCTGGGCTTGGTCCCACTTGTAAGCTGCCCTGAGTCCCTTTGGGGAGATGGTGGGAGGATATGAATATATAGATATTATTATCTGGCAATCACTCCAAAATCAAAGAATCATAGAGTTGGAAGAGACCTCGTGGACCATCCAGTCCAACCCCCTTCCAAGCAGCAGGAAAACTGCATTCAAAGCACCCCCGACAAATGGCCATCCAGCCTCTGTTTAAAAGCCTCCAAAGAAGGAGCCTCCACCACACTCTGGAGCAGAGAGTTCCACTGCTGAACAACTCTCAAAGTTAGGAAGTTCTTCCTAATGTTCAGGTGGAATCTCCTTTCCTGTAATTTGAAGCCATTTTTCTGCGTCCTAATCTCCATGGCAGCAGAAAAAAGCTTGCTCTTTTGTCCCTATGACTTCCCCTCACATATTTATACATGGCCCTCATCATGTCTCCTCTCAGCCTTCTCTTCTGCAGACCAAACATGCCCAGCTCTTTAAGCTGCTCCTCATAGGGCTTATTCTCCAGACCCTTAATCATTTCAGTCGCCCTCCTCTGGACACATTCCAGCTTGTCAACATCTCCCTTCAGTTGCAGTGCACAGAACTGGACACAGTGTGATTCCAGGTGTGGTCTGATCAAGGCAGAATACAGAGGTAGCATTACTTCCCTAGATCTAGGGTTAGATTTCCCCTAATCTTTTGTTGACTCCATATTGCAGAGGTTGAGGAAAGCTTTCTTTTTGTGGGAAGACTGTGGCGAAGAAGGCCCCTGTCAGCATTTCCCCATCTTCTCCTCACAGAGGCCCTAGCACCTCCTTGTTCTTCCTTTTTCTACTGACGTAAGCAAAGAAGCCCTTTTAATTGTTTTTAATGTCCCTGGCAACCCTGAGCTCATTTTGCGCCTTAGTCTTGCAAATCTTTTCCCTACAGGAGTTGCCTATTAGTTTGAATTCTTCTTTGGTGATTTCTCCCCTTTTCCACTTCTTGTGCATGTCTCTTTTGAGTATTAGCCCACTTTGAAGTTCTTTGGACATCCATCCTGGCTTCTTTGCACTTGTCTTCTTTTTTTTCTCTTTTTTGGCACTGTTTGCAATTTTGCCTTGAGTATTTCACTCTTGAAAAGCTCCCATCCATCCATAACTCCCTTGTCTTTTAGTATTGGCATCCGGAGAATACTGCTCAGCATTTCCTTCATTTTTCAGAAGTCAGCTCTCCTAGAGTCCAGAATGCGGGTTTGACTTGTCTTAGTTTTGGCCTTCCTTTGTGTCGCAAACTACAGGAGCACATGATCACTTTCCCATAAGGATCCAACCACTTTGATTGCATTGATAAGGTCCTCTGCATTTGTTAAGATGAGATCAAGAGCAGCCGATCCCCTTGTTGCATCTTCTACCTTCTGGACCATAAAATTGTCTGCAAGGCAAGCGAGGAATTTGTTGGACTTTGTACTCTTGGCTGAGTTTGTTTTCCAGCCAATATCGGGATAGTTGAAATTGCCCATGACTACAGTATCCCTTCTTTGTGCTTGTTTGGTCAACTGTTGACAGAAGGCTTCGTCGGGTTCTTCAACCTGGCTCGGAGGTCTGTAGTAGATGCCCATATCGAGATATTTTTGAGTCCTGGTTCCCTTGATTTTTATCCAGATGCTTTCAAGCTGGTTTCCTGGATTGAAGTCTTGTATCTCTTCTGTGGTGTAAAAGTTCCAGCGTATCTCACATAGCATCATGTACATAACAACTTGTGTTCAGTTAGTTGGCATTATTAATATTAAAATGTGCGGAAAATCTGGGGAAAATAATATAGCGAAATAAAGATGTCAAGTCAGCGAAACTGTACTTTGAAAATATGATGTAAAGACTATGGGGCTATACTGTTTTGGTGAGATTTCCATTTGACCATTCCTTTTAATATACATTTAATAAATCTCTATTGACATTCAAAATTTTGAAAACTATCACTAATAATCAGCTATAATGCTGAAGATCTACACACTGGAAGAGTCACTGAGCCAAATGTAATGTAATGACAAATGTCAGCAAATTGTACAACTATGATGTGCAATCTAGTTTTTCTTTTTCTCTTAAGGTAAATGGTTTCTTTGCCTGAAACATTTTGTGTTTCTTTCTTTATTTTATCTTAAAGTTTCCAAATTAACAAAACAGCTAATGATTTTGGAAGCCAAAAAACAGAGCCAAGAAGAAGACTTGAGAGAGTGCCAGAAACAGCTGGAAGACTTGCACTCCACATACAAAGAGTTAAAAACGAGTGTTAGAGATCGAATAACTGTAGAGGAACATGATGCTTCAGTAAATAAACTGAAATGGTAAGTGTCGGAAAGAAAATAATATAAAAGTGATGCTGCTTGAAAGATTCCAGAACTTACAATTGTGTTTGTATTTTTACTCTTTACACTTTCTTTGGTGCATTATTGAAATTTATGACACCCTCGGGTTAATTTGCAGTAATTTGATAGTATTGATGCAAAATATGAAGCAATGTTGGGCTATTAGTTGTACACTCCTTCTTTAACTACCATTATGAGGGTCCAACACTTGCTTTACTTATTAAAATAAACCACCTGTGTGCTAAATTAGTTTATTTTAAAAATAATTGTATTAATAAAGTTACTATTTTTTATTATTGCCATAAAAAGGCAATAATACAAAAAGCTATATTTTATGCTGTATAATGCTAAAACTACACAGCAACATTTAAACTACTAAAACTAACTGTAAACCTACATTAAAAGTACAAAAAGTATACAGACAGCCCCTAAGCTACGAACAAGGTGGGGTCTGTAGCTTTGTTCTTATTTAATTTATTTGTAAGTCGGAACAGGTACATTTTAAAATGTTACTTCAGTCTGTGTTTACTGTATTTTAATCTTTGTTCAGTGTATTTTAATATGTGTTTTTCATAGAAATACTTTTAAATATATGTGTTTTGCATAATGGGTTGTTAATAATAACAGCAACAGCAATTGTATTTCTAGACCACATCTCTCTCCCAAAAGGGACTCAGGGCAGTTTACAGCACAAAAACAGGCAAACATTAAATGCCTTACAAAATAACAGAAAAAATCAGGAATAATACAAAATAATACATAATAAGAGCAGTAGACTTATAATGAAAAAAATTAAATCTTGAGATGCGGGATAAACCAATTAGACAATAAACTAGGACGTTTAAACATTAAACATATATCATTAGGTAGTTGTATATGACATGGCTAACACAGGTGTTTATTAAAATGTATCATAGCCATCATATAGTGCAAATGGGTTTGCCAGTGGAATAATATCTTAGTCTTCCTCCTCTCCATATGCTAAAATGCATAAGTGCATCTTCAAACATTTCTTAAAGAAGAGGCATGTGGGGGGCGTTTTTAATTCTTTAGGGAGGGTTTCCAGAGACGGGGAGCATTCACAGAGAAGGCCCCCTCTCATTCCCACCAGCCAAGCTTGAGATGGAGTTGGGACCGAGAGCAGGACCTCCTCCACTGACCACAGCACACGGGATGGCCTATATAGGGAAATGCAATTGGACAAATAGACTTTTTATGATGATGGGCCTTGAGGAGACATGGGTAAGATGAAGATGATGATGATGATGATGATGATGAAAATATAACAACACTTTATTTATATTCCACCCTATCTCCCCAAAGGGACTCAGGGAGGATCACAATACACATACACGGCAAACAGTACACATACATGGCAATGGATAGACATTATAGAGGCAGACAGAACAGAAGGAGATATGTTGTGTCAACATCAGCATTCAGCTTTTTGATGTCTTGGAAGGTTGTGCCCGAAATCCAGCCACGGAGATGTTGTCGCTCCATCTTCTATGACGAAGAGCCATCAAAACTTCCTCCTTCCTTTTGGTCACCAAGCATTTTCTGATGTTTTTTTCTTTATGGTGTCCTAAAATACCTCCCCCGCTTGTTTTAGCACTACCTAATTTCTCTAATTACAGCACAAGTTGTTTTCAAACTGCTTAGGTCAACAGTAAGCTGGGCTTGACAGTCAGCAGCTTATGCCAACCTGGAGTTTCGAACTGACAACCTTTCAGTTGTTAGATCTCACCATTGTGCTAAACCCCAACCCAGTTTCTTAGCCACAGAAAGTAAGAGCTGCCCTTGTGCTTTTAGTATTTTTCTCCTTGAGTAGAGGAAAGTGGTGGCATGAGAATGAGGTGGTAATCCCACAGTGTCCAAGCAAAAAAAGACCTACTCAGTAAGGGTGTAGATACAATGAAAAATGTGTTATTAGGAATGTTAAGGAATGGCCAGATGTACTCGTAAAAGGGAACTGGATTTCCGCACCTTCAATAGATGTGCAAAAAGGACATTTGTCTCATGTGTCTAATCACACAGAAATAACATCTTCTGCATTCTGTCAAAGGTGCAAAAATCTTGCCCTATTTTGCATCTGGCTGCCCTAGTTAGGAGGCATTCTGTCACAATTAGTTATGAATTTATCAGGCTTTTATGTAGCTTTGGAAATCACATTGTCAGACTGAATGTCTTGGATCATTCAATTTGATATCGCTATGTTTTATGGAGATAAAAGGTCTCTTTCTTAGCCAGTTGTTTACACATGCAGACATTCCGCTGAAATGATTGAATCTAGAGCAGGCGTGGGCCAACTTGGGCCTTTCTCCAGGTGGAGGGTCCAAGTTGGCCCACGCCTAATATAGGCCCCTTTCTGCACTACCATATAATCCAGTTCAGAGCAGATAATCTGGACTTTTTATATGAGAGTGTAGAAGGGGTCATGGTCAATTAGACATGCTAGTATCATTTCATGGATGATTGTAAATTTGGTATACAGTAAGTATTGGAATGGACTTTTATTTCTTATATTCCTGTTACAAGTAACATTAAATCTAGTCGTGTCCGACTCTGGGGGGCAGTGCTCATCTCCATTTCTAAGCCTAAGAGCCAGCGTTGTCCGTAGACACCTCCAAAATCATGTGGCCAACATGACTGTATGGAGCACCATCACCGTCCCACAGAAGCGGTACCTATTGATCTACCCACATTTGCATGTTTTCAAACTGCTAGGTTTGCAGAAGCTGGAGCTAACAGCGGGAGCTCACCCCACTCCCCGGATTCAAACCACCGACCTTTCAGTCAGCAAGTTCAGCAGCTCAGTGGTTTAACCCATGGTGCCACCGGGGGGCCCTATTCCTGTTATAGTCAGAGGAAATTTTCTCTTCTGAATGTGTCCTTTGCCATGGAAGGAAGTTCCACATAGATACCACATGTGGATCTCTTTCCAAAGCAGACATTGTTTACAGAACAGTTTTTTTTTCTCTCTTGAAAAAACAAGGAGACGAAAGTGCTGAATTCACACCTTATTCGGCTGATGCTATTTATACATCTAGAAACCTGCACGTTAAAACCAAAGGCTTGTTTAATGTCAAGTCTGGCTTGGCCTTTTAATCTGATGGAAGTTGTTTTAGTTAACAGTGAAGGCTGAGTGCACAAATCTTCAAACTGCAGAAAGAAATGTCTTTCTATGTGCTATTCAGAGAGGAGCAGAACATTTTCACGGAATAATATTTTCAGCTTTTAACATCTGTGATAGTAACCTTGGCAGAGGAAATAATGATAATGTCATTTCCAATTGTCCATTTCAATTGGGGAAATAATAATAATAATAATAATAATCGGACAAACCATAAAGTGCAATCAGCCTGAAACCTATAAATATCTGGGCATACTACAGTTGGACAATATCAAGCATGAGCAAGTGAAAAATGTGGTCAGCAAAAAATATACCCAAAGAGTTAGAAAGGTTTTGAAGAGCAAATTAAATGGTGGAAATACGATCAAGGTTCTCAACACCTGGGCCATCCCCGTCATAGATACCCTGCTGGGATTGTGAACTGGACACAAGCAGAGCTGGATGATCTGGACAGAAAAACAAGAAAACTGATGACAATCCACTATTTATTACACCCACGTAGTGATGTCGACAGACTTTACCTTCTCAGAAAATCAGGAGGCAGAGAGAGGGCATCTGCAAGTGACACAAACGGTAGAGGAAGAGAAACATGCACTGGCAGATTATGTGAAAGGCAGTCAAGAACCAACATTGAGGGAAGTCAATAATAGAAAACTGCTTAAAGTGCAAAAGACAAAGAGGGAATACCGTAAAAACACAATCCAGAGCAGAAGAGAAAATGGTGAAAGAAGGCTCTCCATGGACAGTTCCTGGGAAAAATTGAGAGCCAAATTGACAAAGAAAAAACATGGCTGTGACTCATAAATGGAACTCTTAAAAAGAAGACTGAGGACCTGATTCTGGCAGCCCAAGAACAAGCCATTCGAAGCAACGCCATCAAAGCCAGAATTGAAAAGTTGACAACAGATCCCAAATGTAGACTCTGCAAGGAAGCAGATGAAACAATAGATTATATCCTCAGCTGCTGCAAGAAGATTGCGGAGACAGACTACAAGCAGAGGCATAACACTGTTGCTCAGTTGATTCATTGGTACTTGTGCCACAAAGACCATCTGCCTGTGACAAAGAACTGGTGGGATCACAAGCTGGAAAAAGTTACAGAGAATGAACACACCAAACTCCTCTGGGACTTCCGAATTCAGAGAGACAGAGTTCTGGAGCACAACACTCCTGACCTCACAATCATGTTAAAAAACAAAGTATGGATCGTCGATGTCACAATCCCAGGTGATAGCAGGATTACAGAGAAACAACAGGAAAAGCTGACACGATATGAGGATTTAAAGATCAAACTGCAAAGACTCTGGCCCAAGCCAGTAAAGGTGGTCCCAGTGGTGATCGGCACACTGGGTGCAGTGCCTAAAGACCTTGGCCTGCACTTAAACACAATCTGCACTGACAAAATTACCATCTGCCGGCTGCAAAAGGCCCTTACTGAGATCTGCATGCATTATTCGCCAATACATCACACAGTCCTAGACACTTGGGAAGTGTGCGGCATGTGATCCAATTCAACAGCCAGCAGAGTGTCTGCTGTGGACTCATCTTGTTGTGTTTCAAATAATAATAATAATAATAATATCTTTATTTTTGTATCTCATCTCCATCTCCCCAGCGGAACTTGGGGTGGCTTACATGGGGACGAGCCCGATCAACATAGTTAAAATATAACACATAAAATACATAAACAACAGTATTAATAACATTATAACAATATATATATATAGTGAGCATCAAACCAACAACCAATGAACCTGCAATAATGATCTATTTCTTAGCACTGGTGGATGGACTAATGCAAATCAATTGTGAGGATAGGGCTGATGGATGAAGTGCTTTAGTCACATAGCAATAGTAGAGATAGAGGGCAATGTAAGATAGAGCATTATAACTTTGGGTACAAAACAATTGTAAAGTGCGAGGGCAAGATTTTAGGTCTTAGATGTTGCCAAACTGTCTGGGGAATTGTCTAGTCAAAAGTACAGTGGAACATCCATATCTATAGATCTTTGCAGAAGATGGACAGGGTGGGTGCTAGCCTAATCTCTCGGGGGGGGGGGGTTCTAGAGCCAGGGGGCCACCACCAAGAAGGCCCTCTCTCTCGTCCCCACCAACTGTACCCGAGATGGGGATGGGAGCAAGAGAAGAGCCTCCACAGAAGATCTTTTTATGGATGCATGTTTTTTATTTCTCTTTTCTTCAGCCAGCTGCAAGAAGAACAAGAGAAGAGAGAGAAGGAGGCCAAGGAATTAATGGCAAAACTTGCCTCTGTGCAAGCAGAAAAGAGAAGTCTCCTTATTGAGAAAAATGATTTGGTGGCTGAAAACAAGGTTCTAGAAGCTGAACTGGAAATGGCACAGAAAGCAAAAAGGTTCATCTTTATTCTTTTTTCATTATTGCTTTTGGTTTGGAAAGAAAGGGGAGGCAACAAACCTAGTCATTTTCAGTAACTTAGTTGTACAAAACTGAATTTTATGCTCACATTGGAGGCAAAGTTATTTATTATTTTACTGTTGTTGTTATTATTATTATATTATTGTTATTACATTTACATTATTTTCCTCTATTATTACATTTATTATTTTACTCTATTACTGTTATTATTACATTTCCATTATTTTACTCTATTATTATTATACTACATTTATTATTTTACTCTCTATTATTAATATTGGAAGGATACATAAGCACATTTACATTGAACAAGTTTGGAATAATGGTTTAATGAAAGTTGGACATTTTTATTTTAAATTACAGTTTTTTGTAAATATCAAAAACATTTAACCTACTGATGCCTCGATTAATGTAATTGTATTGGTATATATTTTATTTTGGAATTTACCAGTAGCTGCAGCATTTCCCACCCTTGGCTTATACTCGAGTCAATAGGTTTTCCCAGTTTTTTCACGGTAAAATTAGGTGTCTCGGCTTATATTCGGGTCAGCTTATACTCAAGTATATACAGTAAATGGTTTGTGGTGGATTTACATGTAGGAGGAACATGTATAGTTTCTTTCCTGATCAGTTATGACAAAAGCCAAGATGCTCACAATCTCATTTGACAATGTTTTTTTTATGAGAATTTATTGATTTATGTTTTATTGTTATTGTTATGATTTTATGGAAGTTAATGCTTTTTTTATATTGTACTTGTGTTTCTATGGGATTCAATTTTGCCTTGTAAACCACCTCAAGTCGCCGGAAGGCTGAGAGGGGCAGTATACAAATACAATAAATAAATAAATAAACTGCTGCATTTGAGTTGATACACGAATCAATACGTTTTCCCAGTTTTTTGTGTTAAAATTAGGAGCCTTGGCTTATATTCGTGTCAGCTTATACTCGAGTATATATGGTAGTTAGTAGTATTATTGTAGTTCATCTAGCCACCAAGCCACTTGTACTTAAGTGTTTTTATTAGTTTTGCAGGATGGCATGTGCACTTCCATGGCTAGAGTATACCCACCTTGCTATTTATTTATCGTGTCAGGAGCAAGCCAAACAATTGTATTGCATTTTTAACAAACAAACAAACAAAACACAAAGTTTGCAAGCTTGGTAGTTGATTAAATGTCCTTTGACCAGTAGCTGGCCACTTGGAGTGCCTCTGGTGTTACTATAAGAAGGTCCTCCATTGTGCATGTAGCAGGGCTCAGGTTGCATCGCAGCAGATTGTCTTATTTTACTAAAGTCATTATGTGTGTTGAATTGCACCAGAATTGACTACACTGAAATATTAGTGATCTTAAACCTGCTTCCTAAGAAAACATTCTACGTTTGTTTTTTTAATTAAAAAATTAACCTCTAGACAATCTCAGAAGAAAATTGGTCATCTGAAGCAGCAGCTGGAAGAAGCAATGGACAAGGAGATCGTGGCTCATCAATATCTAGCAAATCTGGTCAGTTTGACAGAAAATGTAACTCGAGAACGTGACCAACTTTTAAATCTGGTAAGTCTTTTTCCAAAATCACTCTTCTGGTTCAACTAATTTACATTCAGGGACTAAAAAACAGTTCATATCAATAATTAGTAAAAGGGAAGGACAAGTCATGTGATATAAAATCATGCTGAACCTTGTTTGCACGTGCTTTTCTTGGTAAGACACTTGTGCAAGATGAAGTTGTTTGCTGCTTCACCCAGGCTGCTTCTTTTGGAATGACCTTTGGATCTATGATTCTTACAGATAGATAATAATATGAATTTACAAGGGTTATCTGGAAAGTAAGGTTACATTTTTTTTAAATACAAAGAATGAATATATTTTAATAAAACTTACATGGATTGTAGCATAGGTATTTCATTATTTTCCCACATAATCACCATTCAGTTCAATACATTTTGTCATCTGTGGGACGGGTTTTTGATGCCTGTGTCACAGAAGTTTCCCTCCACCTTTTTCAGCTAGTTTGTCACTTCAGTTTTCACCTCATTGTCATCAGAAAATGTTTTCCACCAAGGTGTTCCTTAAATTCACGTTATTTTTTCCTTTATTAGCACTATTATATATATACATACATATATACATTTATATGTATACATATATGTAATTCCCTCCTTTTTTTCTTTTCAACTTTTATTTTATTCACTTTACCCTTGTGTATATCTTCATCTCGTTTGTAGATGTCTTGCTTTTAAATTAAAATTTCAAATAAAGAGTATTTGAAGCAAGGTGTTCCTTCAATTTAGTGAACCGATGATAGTCACTGGGTGCAAGATCGGGGCTGTGAGAGGGGTGGCTTAAACATCCGAACCAAATGACAGACTCCCACCGCCATCATCCCATGACGTTTTGTTTTGGATGGCTCTGCGAAGTTTCTTCATGGTCTTACAATATATTCTGTCCCCTTTTTGTCACATGCTGTCTTGACATTACGTTCTCTCCATAAACTGAAAAGATTTTGTGATGAATTGCAACAGCATTTATGCATTTAGCATTTAGATAGTGTATTACAGCGCGAACTTTGCACTTGGAGGGAAATGGAATGAAGAAGCTCATCTCTAACCTTCACAACACCAGTCAATGAGCTACTGACGACTGGCACTGCTCGTTCACTTCCGCTGGCTTCCTGCTATACAGCAGTGATGCCAACTTCCCCCAAGAAAATTCCCTGCAAGAACTAAGTGCCTTCTAACCTTACTTTCTGGATAACCCTCGCATATAAAGCAGCTTCCTGTGTTCCAAATGCAGTCTCCTGAGCACTCACAAACATTGAATTCAGGGTTACAATTTTAAGACAGCAAAAGCCTTTGCAAATTCAAATATCTTTCTCCCGGGGTTTGCTTTTTTTTTTCTCCTCCTTTAGACGAGTTGTTTGGAAAAAGAAAAGTATGGTGTTCTCAACAAAATAATAGAAGGAAATGTGCGTTTAGGAAGACTGGAAGAGAAAGTAAAGGTGAGTACATTTTATTAGCATTGATATGTGATATAATATGGTATTTCTAATTCAGGGGTTGTTTATTTTTTGAGAAGCAGAGCCATTAAAAGCTCTGCAACATTCACTTACTTGATGCAGGGTCATTTCTGGCTGTTGTGTCTGCATTTACATCAGCAGGAATGAGATGTGCCTGGAAAATTTATCTGAGGTTTCACGCTGTTAAACACTGAGTGTGCTTTGCTTTACTGAACATCACTGCCCTCATTTTGTGGCACTTTCTCTAAAGTTTTGCAGCAAAGAAGAATATAGAAAGGAGCTGCCTTGGTTTGCAGGCTGTTGCAGCGGTTGGGTTCTTAAAGCAATGCTTCTGGAACTTGGAAGGAACAACCCAGAGCATATAAAAAAATTAATATTAGCACTCTGGTATATTAAAAGTACAATTTATTCAGAAAGTAATCACAAATTGAATTTACTTTTGTATATTTTTGTTCCCCCCCCCCTTTTTTTTTCTGACAAATGGAGCTTCAGGGTCTTTGAAATGTAAGGAACTTCTGAGCTGTAACGAACCTCTGATTTTGTCAGTTTATGAGAACCCAGGAAAAAACAGAACAGAAAATCCTGGCTACATTAATAAAGCATTAAAAATGTTTCCTTTAGTACTCCATAGTTTTAAGCTTTGGCTAAAATCAGAACAGTAAATAAAGAGCAACACTCAGAAACAATGGAATTTATATTAACTGTATTGTGTTGGATTGTTTTTGTTTATTGCTTTCTTGTTTTTATTGATGTGTTGTTGGGCTTGGCCTCATGTAAGCTGCTCCAAGTCCCTTGGGGAGATGGTGGCGGGGTATAAATAAAGTTTTATATTATTATTATTATTATTATTATTATTATTATTATTATTATTAATTCCAGACAAGAAACAATTGGGGCCAGCTAAACCTCCCAACAAAGGATTCCCTTAGGCAGGAAACAGCCAGGCCTTGAAACAGCAAGGTCATTAAATGCTAATCAATGTAGCCAGTCGCAACATTCTCACCTGCTTCAAACAGACTAGAGTCCTTTCTCCCACCCTTGACATTCCACAGATATATAAACCCCACTTGCCTAGTTTCCAACAAACCTCACAACCTCTGAGGATGCCTGCTATAGATGAGGGCGAAACATTAGGAGAGAATGCTTCTGGAACATGGCTAGACAGCCTGGAAAACTCACAGCAACCCAGAAAGGAAGCCTGCTCCCTCTTTTTAGGACATCCTTTCACATATTTATACCTCGCTTTCATGTCTACTTTCAAATTCAGAGATGGAGAAATAAGTGCTGGAAAAGCCCGAGGCGCCATTCTGTGGCCTCCAGAGCAGATACACTATTGATTCCTTTTACCTTCTCTGCTTGCAGTTGTTCTGTGATACTGCCTTCATTGGGATTCCTTATCATTATCCTATCCTCTGCAGTTCATGGCTGCAAATGCCAAGAGGACTAGTGATAGAATGTGCAATTATCCCATCCCATTTTTTATCCAACCAAGGCTGTTAGTATCCAGGCCCCTGAACCAGGCTGCTGAGACGGCTGAGCAATGACCCCTCACAAACTAATACCCATGCCAACATAAAGGCAGATCAGATAGCACACCAACTCTTGAAGAATGGGAAACCCAACCTTGCCACCAAAGTAGGAAAGAAACCAATAGCCAGACAACCAGAGATTGAGAACAACAACCTCCATGAACCCTTTGCATCTACTGAATTGGACATGGCTCTCAATAAATGTAAAATGGCAAAGCAGCTGGCCTGGATGATCTACGGATGGAACAAATCAAGAACTTTGGTCCAAAAGCAAGGTGCTGGCTGCTGGAGCTGATGAACAACTGCACTGCATCCTGTCAGATCCCCAAAATCTGGAGGAAAGCAAGAGTCATCGCCATCTTGAAGCCAGGCAAAGACCGTAATGACCCAAAAAGCTACAGACCAATCTCCCTGTTGTGCCACCTCTACAAAGTTCTGGAGAGACTTATTTTGCATAGAATTATGGAAAATATAGACCCCTGTCTGATCCCACAGCAAGCTGGCTTCAGAAAAGGCAAAAGCTGCACATCGCAAGTGCTGAACCTGACCCAGCACATAGAAGATGGCTTTGAAAGGCAGCAGATCACAGGAGCTGTCTTCATAGACTTGTCAGCAGCCTATGATACTGTGAACCACCGCCTCCTCCTGAGAAAAATGTATAATATCACAAAGGACTACCACCTCACCCACCTCATAGGAAACCTGCTACAAAACAGGAGCTTTTTGTTGAGTTCCAGGGCCAGAGAAGCAGATGGCGGAAACAGAAGAACGGCCTGCCTCAGGGGAGCGTGCTTGCTCCATCCATGTTCAACATCTACACAAATGACCAGCCACTGCCAGAAGGGACAGAGAGTTTCATCTATGCTGATGATCGTGCCATTACTGCTCAAGCAGGGAGCTTTGAGATGGTAGAACAGAAGCTCTCCAAAGCTCTAGGTGCTCTTACTGCCTATTACAGGGAAAACCAACTGATCCCTAATCCATCTAAAACACAGACATGCGCCTTTCACCTTAAGAACAGACAAGCATCCCGAGCTCTGAGGATTACCTGGGAATGAATCCCACTGGAGCATTGCAGCGCACCCAAATACCTGGGAGTCACTCTGGACCGTGCTCTGACCTACAAGAAGCACTGCCTGAACATCAAGCAAAAAGTGGGTGCTAGAAACAATATCATACGAAAGCTGACTGGCACAACCTGGGGATCACAACCAGACACAGTGAAGACATCTGCCCTTGCTCTATGCTACTCTGCTGCTGAGTATGCATGCCCAGTGTGGAACACATCTCACCACGCTAAAACAGTGGATGTGGCTCTTAATGAGACATGCCGCATTATCACGGGGTGTCTGCGCCCTACACCACTGGAGAAATTACACTGCTTAGCCGGTATTGCACCACCTGACATCCGCCGAGAAGTAGCAGCCAATAGTGAAAGGACCAAGGCAGAGACATCTCCAGCTCATCCCCTGTTTGGGTATCAGCCAGCACGTCAACGACTTAAATCAAGACATAGATCTTAGATCTACAGAGACACTCGCTGGAACACCCCAGCAAGCGAGAGTCCAAAAGTGGCAGGCCCAAACCCAGCACCTCAATCATGGGTGATACCAGATGAGAGACTCCCCCTGGGCACACAGAAGACTGGGCGACTTGGAAGGCGCTGAACAGACTGCGCTCTGGCACCACGAGATGCAGAGCCAATCTTAAGAAATGGGGCTACAGGGTGGAATCCTCGGCATGCGAGTGCGGAAAAGAACAAACCACTGACCACCTGCTGCAATGCACCCTGAGCCCTGCCACATGCACGATGGAGGACCTTCTTGCGGCAACCCCAGAGGCACTCCAAGTGGCCAGATACTGGTCAAAGGACATTTAACCAAATACCAAATTTGCAAAATCTGTGTGGTTTTCTTTCTTTCTTTCTTTTTTTTCTTTTTTTCTTTTTAATCTCTGTGTTTGTTTTGCTCTGTTAGAATTGTAATACAATGGTTGCTGATGACACGATAAATAAAATAACCATAGTCCCAGCCAGAGCCTGCATTTTCTCTGCAAAGCTTAGTCTACCATCTCCAGCTCAGTGACTATTTTTTCCTTCTTAAGAATCCGCTGCATAGATTTATTTATTTTATTTCCCGTATTTGTATCCTGTCGCTTCTCAATCCCCGAAGGGGGACTCAGATACATGGAAAGAAGGATGTGCATGAAGGAGATTTGGTCACACATACATTTCTGCAAGTTGGAGCTATGTTTCACAGACAACAATTGAGTAAAGAAATTGAACAGGATTCTGGAAAAAAAATTCTCTCATAATAGCTTTTGAACATCAGTTACATAGTGTTCCAGCAGGGAAAAAAAGTTGCAAAGTGTCCTTTTTTCAAGTGAAACATCTTTATTTCTGACATCTTATTCCAGATCATCCCAGCTCTCCAGTAATTAACAGAAAAAGACACCCAGTGCTTCTTATTTGGCAAACTTATCTAAAAATTGATAAATGTAGACTAATTCTCAACAGGATTCAGATTTGATACAGTTGAAATCTGAAGAATTTTATCTAATTCTTCAGATTTTAGGCACAGATAGATCTATGTTTTATTTCATACTAGTTTATCATTGGACTCCCTGATGGCACAGAGGGTTAAACCACTGAGCTGCTGAACTTGCTGACCGAAATATTGGTGGTTTGAATCCGGGGAGCGGGTGACCTCCCACTGTTAGCCCAGATCCTGCCAATCTAACAGTTCGAAAACATGCAAATGTGAGTAGATCAATAAGTACTGCTTCTTCGGGAATGTAACGGCTCTCCATGCAGTCATGCCAGCCATATGACCTTGGAGGTGTCTATGGACCACGCCGGCTCTTCAGCTTACAAATGGAAATGAGTACCACCCTCCAGAGTCGGACACAACTAGGTTTAATGTCAGGAAAAGCCTTTACCTTTACTTAACATCATTCAAATTTGGCAAATAGAAGGTTTAATATTTCCAGTTCTCTCCAGACTTCACCTCTTCCCATCTAATTGGGAGGCCCTTATTTATCCCAATAGAACAAAAGGCACAGGTATGCTTCTCTCTCTGAAGCAAACAGAGGGCTGCATTTAATAAAGGACTACCTTTAGGGAAGCAAAGACCCCATCTACACTGCCATATAATGTCCAGACTTATCTTCTTTGAACTGGATTATCTGAGTCTACACTGCCATATAATCCAGTTCAAAGCAGATAATCTGGGTTTTATGTTGCAGTGTGAATGGGGCCTTAGGGAGCACACTTGCCATGTGATTGTAGTACTTGGTGTAAGAAGCAGAATTTTTGCCTTCTCAGATGTTTCCCGTATTGTATTTCATTTGGTTTTACTGCAAGCTGGTTTGAGTCTTTTGTAGAGAGAGAAAGCAGAGTTATAAAACACATAATAATAATAATAATAATAATAATAATAATAATAATAATAGGATTGCACCCCAGGATACCATGCATTACAGGTATGGGCCAGCTTCGGCCCTCCCTCCAGGTGTTTTAGACTTCAACTCCCACAATTCCTAACAGCCAGTAATGGTTAAGAGAAAATAAGTGGAAGCCATCAAACTTTCCTTTTTTATATTATTATTATTATTGTTATTGTTGTTGTTGTTATTATTTTGTTGTTATTATTATTATTATTATTATTTTGCAGTACTCCAAAACAAATCTTAGGATTGTGACCCATTTGGAATCCTGTAAATGAATCTGGGGCTCACAAAAAAGTATGTGTAGTTAGCCATCTAGTGACTATTTAAGACATTTGCATGAACCCAAGATAAAAGATGAGCCGACAGAATATATTCTGCCACTTGATGCTGCAAACCAAGCATTCCTTCATATGAAGGACATTCATTAAATATTTCCCCTGACCCACTTCCTGTGGACTGAGAGCAAAGAAACTTGTCTCAGTTATTAGCCCTTCTCTCCATGGGTGTCACCTAGGGACACACACTTCTCCCATCTTTTTAAGCAGCTGTAAACACCTTGCTTGTAGAACTCGACAGGTTGTTCCAAAAGCCACGTTGTGACTTTGGAAATTAGAGTCTTTTCATCTGAAAAATGCTCGCCTGTCAAAAATAACTTCATTGTTGGAAAGAGGTGGTAGTCCAGTGATTTGCGGTTGGGTGAATAAGGGAGATGCGGTAGAATTTTAAAGCCACAGGAGCATTCTTCTTTCATTTGGGATACATGTGAGTTGTGAACTGGTGAATTGTCTTGGTGAGCATACCACATTGTCTCTTGTTTTTGATGGCTTTCCCCAATTTCCGCAGCAATGAAGCCTAGTATGCCCCCCTTTGGTAGAAAATCTATCAATACTACTCCGTATTGGTCCCAAAATACTGTGAACAATACCTTGCCTGCCAAGAGTTGGGCACATGCCTTCTTTGGAGGTGATGAGTCATGATGCTTCCATTGCATTGATTGAGCTTTAGTCTCAGGATCAGAGTGATGAACCCAGCTTTCACCCTGTGTGATCATTCTGTTGAAAAAGTCCTCCTGGTTTCCATAGTACATCATCGTCAAGAGAGCCTGAGAGCATTCGACTGGTTCTAGAAAGGTGTGAGCAGCCAGGGGACCCAGCAAGCGGATACCTTATGCTTGTGAAGATGCTCTTGGGTGATTTTTTTCCATGGATCCAACACTAATCTTGACATTTTGGGCTAGTTGGTGAATGGTTATGCAGCGATTTTCCAAAATAGCAACCTCCACTTGCTGGATGGTGTTTTCATCAAGAGCAGAGTGGGATTGCCCTGGAATGGGATTGTTTCCACTGAATCCACTGAACCAACCTGGACACAGCATATTATTTGAAAACACGAAAATGCTGGATCACTCTAACAACCACCATATTAGACTACACAGAGAAGCCATTCAAATCCACAAGCATGTGGACAATTTCAACAGAAAGGAGAAAACCATGAAAATGAACAAAATCTGGCTACCAGTATTTAAAAACTCTAAAATTACAGCAAAACAACAGAGGGGAAACAATCAGGCACATCTAATCACCTCTCAACAAAAGACTGCCCCAGACACCAACAAACCACACCAAACAACTGCTAGGCCATCAAATGCTAATCAAGGTGGTCAGTTGAACCATTCACACCTAGCTCCAACAGACAAGAGGTCTTTGTCCCACCCTGGTCATTCCACAGATATATAAACCCTTTTTCCTAGTTCCAACAGACCTCACTACCTCTGAGGATGCTTGCCATAGATGCAGGTGAAACGTCAGGAGAGAATGCCTCTAGAACATGGCCATATAGCCCGAAAAAGCCTACAACAACCCTGTTTCCACCGAAGTCCGACCACATTTGAATTGATGATACCAGTTCTTAACTACATCATATGATAATGAATCATCACCATAAACCTCTTTCATCCCATTGAACATAGCCTTTGGTGTGCAGTCTTTCAAGGAAAGGAACTTGAGGACTGTTCTGTACTCCACTGGGTTCATTATCAAACCTCACACCACTTCAGCACCTGTCAAATCAAAACCGTTCTCAGTTCTGAGTTGTAAATTGGCACGTAACCTATAGAGACTTATATCATTACACATGTGCAGTTTCAGCATCCTGTAATAAATAGAAGTGGGTCAGGAGAAATCTTTAATGAACACCCCTCATAGAATGGAAAATTCTCTGTGTCCTGCAATATCGAATATTTAGCCAAGATTTAATTATTTATGTGAAAGTAAACACATCCATCTCATTAGTATGCAAATTAGTATACCCATTTGCTTTCATCTGATAAAATTAGATGTATGCCAAAGGACCGTTTTGAAATATGTATTGTTGAAGGCTTTCATGGCTGGAATCCCTGAGGTGTCATCTTGTGGCTTGTTTCCAGGCTGTATGGCCAATGCTTTCTAGCAGCATTTCCTGCTTTTTCCATTTCGCTTGCATCTGTGGCTGGCATCTTCAATGGTGGTCAAGCAAGTGGAGTATATATATATATACCTGTGGAATGATGCCCACGGTGGGAGGAAAGAACCATTGTCTGTTGAACAAGTGTGAAGGGTGCAATTTGCAAGCTTGATTTGTGTATGTTAAGTGGATCTGTCCATCAGCATGTGAGTAACTAGGAAGACTGCATTGTCAGTAGTGAGGTATCCACCTAGAAGTAGTTTGGTATTCGTTCTCTTTATATTATTTTGTGCTTGGAGACCTCCTGTGTCTAGGTGGTGTTGATTAGTTGCTGTCTTGATTCTGGTGTTTTCAATACTGTTAGCCAATTTTTGTTCATTTTCATGGTTTCTTCCTTCCAAGTGCTTGTGGATTTCAGTGGCTTCTCTATGTGGTCTGACATAGTGGTTGTCAGAGTAGTCCAGAATCTCAGTGTTCTCAAATAATAATATTCTGTGCCTAGCTTGGTTTATCATGTGTTCTGCTATAGCTGACTTACCTGACTGAATTAATCTGCAGTGCTTTTCATGTTCTTTGATTCATGTCTGGGCGCTGCTGCATTTGGTTGTCCCTATAGAGACTTGAGGAGCCCCTGGAGGCGCAGCGGGTTAAACCGCTGAGCTGTTAAACTTACTGATCGAAAGCTTGGTGGTTTGAATCCGGGAAGCGGAGTGAGTTCCTGCTATTAGCCCCAGCTTCTGACAACCTAGCAGTTCGAAAAAATGCAAATGTGAGTAGATCAATTGGTACCGCTCCAGTGGGAGGTAATGGCGCTCCATGCAATCATGGAAGCCACATGATCTTGGAGGCGTCTCGGGACAACGCTGGCTCTTCAGCTTAGAAATGAAGATGAGCACCAACTCCCAGAGTCGGACACACCTAGACTTAATGTCAGGGAAAAATCTTTACCTTTAATATAGAGACTCATTCACCTGTGGAGACTTGTTTTAAAATATATGTATTTATGATTTATTATTAATAAGCATTTTATTTGTATGCCTATTTTATATAATTGCTCTAGAACAGGACTTATTAAACTTTTCCACCTGCAAACCAGTTCTGCTCAGAAAATGCAGGATGTAGCATATGTAGAGCATTGTCAAAATTCTTCATGTCATGTTGCATGTTTGTTTTACACCCTCTAGTGAAGAATACACTCTGTTAGCTTTGTTTTTCTTCTGAATTAGGAGACCACATTGGTGTTCTTTGGGGCTCCGTACTTTCAGCCAAGAGGTCCCAGGTTGCAGACTTCCTTCTTCTTGTTCCCATCATAGTCTGTTCACATGCATGTACACAATCCATAGTCTTTCTTCACCTCCAAAATAAATAGATGGTGTTAACCCTTCCTGCCTTCCTTGCACAGGTTGCAGGAAAATTCTTCATGAATGTTTAATGGCACATAGCTGGTGTTTTCGATTTCAAATCCATATGGTTTATGAACCCAGCTTTCATTTTTTAGAATCAAAATTGGAAGGGAAGTTTTAAAAAACCCCGAAAAAATGCCATGTAAATGTCTAGAGCAGCCACTAAGGGGCAAGCTACACAAGATTTTTCTTGACCGCTACATTTAGTTATGGTATTACTATTATTAACTTTATTTATACCCCATCTTTCCCTCTGTGGGGTGGGTGGGGGGCTCAAGGCAGCTAACAATCCCACACTTGGTCAAGTTTAAATCTATACACATCATAAAAATGAAAATCTGTGTGTATGTGGCAGGGGTGTCCACTCACACAGACAGCCTCTTGCCTCCACAAACAGCTTTAACCCATAGTGCTGAGGAGCCACCTAAAGCACTCCCTCCAAGGACATTGCAGGTTAGCCCAACCTCTGCCAATGTTCTCCGCAAACACCATAACTGCACACAATCCAAATGAAGGCTTTCATGGCTTTCATTGAGGGCAATTTCATCCTAGATGTTCTTTTTTTCCCCTCCAGAATGGACATCCCAGAGTTCCTTACTCTTGCTGTGGAAGTTGTATGACCCCACCCACTGCCTTTCCCTTAACCCTTTACTACCATTTCCTATGGCACGCAACAAACAGGAATTGATCAGAAGACCCAACATGCCCGACTGTGAATACAGTTTGGAGTTTGGGCGTGATTGAGTTCACCTACATTCAGAGAAACAGTGACCCCCACCACCGACAATAGACTGAGACCAAACTTGGCACAGAGAAGCCCCATGACCAACTGTACATAGTGCAGGGGTTTGTGGGAATGGATCTTGATTTTGGGAGTGGCTCCCTTATCCAGAGAGCACTGAACCCAGCCAACAAAGGATCTGGACCACACTTGACACACAGACCCAACATGGCCTGCTTGCATACAGGCTTGGTTTGAGGAGGATTGACCCACGATTCTGGAAATTGTAGTTCACCCACATCATTATGTATTTTATAATGGGAGCATTCATAAACAACAAAATTAAAACACTGGCTTTTTTCTAATAAATAGTGTTATTAATTAACTAAATGATATTGCCTAACACCCCAAAACAAACAATGCCTTTTTTCAAATAACCCGGGCATTGCCCAAGCTAGTAGTGCAATTAAACAATTAAATAGTAACAGAGTGGTAAAAAAATCATTAAAATACAATAACTACACTTAAAATAGCTTTTAATATCCCAAGCAAGGTCTTGACCCACAGTTTAATAAGCTTTTCTCTAGAGCAGTGGTTGTCAACCTGTGGGTTCCCAGGTGTTTGGCCTTAAACTCCCAAAAATCCTAACAGCTAGTAAACTGGCTTGGATTTCTGGGAGTTTCTTGGATTTCTAGGCCAATACACCTGGGGACCCACAGGTTGAGAACCACTGCTCTAGAACATGGCAAAACGTTGAGATAGTAGTGCAAAGTGTTAGGAACATCGATCGCTTGATATCTGCATACTTCCTTTCGGAAACACACTTTCACATTTTCCAAGCTGTACATGTTAATAGCTCAAAAGGCCTATAAGTTCCAAATTATAAAATTCCAATTTTTTAAATTAAAAAAATATTCAGCTCCTATGGGAACAGTCACACATTCCCTGGCAAAGGCATTGGCAGAAACCATATACCAGACACACGGTGATGCTGGAAGGGACAAGGCTGACGCAGACAATTCCAAGGGTCACTTTCTGAATCACCAATAAATAGATTCCAAGTGGCAAAGACCCAAAGTAGAAAAATCCAAGCAACCACACTAGTATTCTGGGAATGTGGGTGCAGAATTTAGAGACAAAGTCTTGGTCTAGTTGGCTGTGGGAGTTTACAGAGGCTGAGTCAAGACTGTGATCATTTGTATAATAATCTGAGAGGGTGTTTTGGCTCGGCCTCCTCGCAGCAGAATCTCTCTGGACTTCCATGATCGTTATTACCAAGCAGTTTGATGACCCCTGAGAAGGGCTTGAGGATGCCAGACTCTTTGGAGTCAAGACGACTTCTTTGCAGTCCGAACTCCGTGCTGTTTTGTCCTTGGCCATAAGTTTTGACATAACGTTTGTGTCATCAGGGAGGCCTTCCACTTCTTCCTGAAGTTCAGTCTCATGGCGGCAGAAAGGGCAGCTTATGCAAAGGGAGCCGTCCCCAACCTGGAGGATTTTGGCCAGGCATTTAGCACACACCCGATGGAGGCAGTCCAGGATTTTGGGTTTGCGACTGTGGACATTAAATTTCTGATAACAGATTTTGCACTCCAGCTCGTCGTTGGGTGCTTTTTCCTCCCCCTCTGTTGTAGGGCCATCCATCTTTAAAGTAGGTACACTGCAAAAGAAAACAGCAGTCAATTCCCACATACCTTTAATAATGACTTTGTGATTAAACCTTATCATTAATGTGTTTTTAGTTAAAGATAACAAAACGGGAAGTAATCTATATAAATAAAAATGTAAGGTTCGTTTGTGGGATTAACATAACTCAAAAAAACCCTGGACAAATAGACACCAAATTTGGACTTATATGTACATTTATATGTACATTTCCCTCATGCAATATTTGCTAGCCCTATATATCTGTATTCATATATATTTACCTAGAAATCTCTACATATAAATAATTATATCTATATAGGATTTGCAAAGACTTGCAAACATGTGAGGGGAATATATATATATATATACACACACACACACACACACACTTATACATACACACAGAGAGAGATACAGTTATATAGGTACCTCTATATTTATTGATATCTATATCTATAAAGGAAATGCCGAGAATTTCAAACATTGAAGGGGAATAAAAATAATGTGTACATATAGATACAGATATACAGGTATGTAGAAATCTCTAGATATCTATATGGATATAGGATTTGCAAAGACCTGTAAACATATGAGGGGAAAACTTCCAGGGGACGCACAAAAATGCACATATAAAGTTAATACATTTAGATACACACAAAAAACAACCAAGAATGTTGGTGGGTTTGAAAGAGAGCCATACAAACAAGGAGGACATGAAATATATCTCCTTTCCCTCCTTCCCTTCCTTTTGACTGGAAAAGAAAACACACTGTCAAGAAAGGTGAAGAGGAGAGAGAAATCTATCATATGTTGCAAGCAATGGCCCCCAGGCTCCGCTGCCCAACCTTGACCCCATTATAAGATTTTTTAAAAGGTTGAAAAACTCAGTTTATCTTCGAGTCTATATGGTATGTATACAGATGCATTTGTTATTTTGATTTTGCCAATTTGAAATAAGAATTTATCAGACAAATGTGTTCCTCCTCTTATGCCAAAAGTACAGTTTGGAAGATTTTATTTTTAATTTAAAAACACCCTTCTCTTTTCCCAGTAATTTCTTTTGGGGGGGGGGGGCATCTATAGAAAAACACCTACTCCATGCTTGGGCTGCAGCCTTATGTGGGAGTAAGTCTCATCAAACTCAGTGAGGCATAGTGACAAGTAGCAATTACTCATTTGGAATATTTAGGTACTGCTTTTATCCATCAACATGAAAAAGAAGTGAATACACACACATTCCAGTGGCTGCAAAGCATTTGCCTTTGGGTTGAGGATATAACCCAGAGACTAGTTATGACAGTTAGTACAATCCAATTTTGACAAGCATTTAGAGTTTGCTTTTCCTGGAAGCGAAATCTTTATTCTCGTGAACAAATACTCCTAGAATGTTGTACTTGCCACCTGAGCTCATTGAGAGAAGGCTTCTCAGTTGTTCATTTTCATGCCAATATATATTTAAGGTTATCCAACAACGGCGATACTTATGACTGAAAACAAGTTCTGAATAGAGGCTCTCTGTAACACATCTTTGTTTACCAAAGATGCATGGCTTGATGCTCGAAGGATTTGACACGTAACTGTGCAACTGTGCCTTCTGCAGTTTTCCCTGAGTAGCCTGGGCAGAGGTTTTATTTATTTATGTCCGTACTTTCCTAATGGAGTCGCTGGTGGTGCAGCGGGTTAAACCACTGAGCTGCTGAACTTGCTGACCAAAAGGTCAGCGGTTCAATTCCAGGGAGCAGGATGAGATTCCACTATTAGTCCCAGCTTCTGCCAGCCTAGCAGTTCGAAAACATGCAAATGTGAGTCGATCAATAGGAACCTCTTTGGTGGGGAGGGAATGGCTTCCATGCAGTCATGCCGGCCACATGACCTTGGAAGCATCTACGGTTAATATTTTAAGGGACAATATTTTAATGTATTTTTATTGCCTTTTAAATGTATTTTTATAGCTGTTGATTCATTCATGTTAATTGTTGTTCTCTTTGTCGGCATCTAATGACTGCCAATTGTAAGCCGTCCTGAGTGGGGGGTGAGAAGGACGGGATACTATTGCTCTAAATAAATAAATATGGACTGCACTAGTTCTTCGGCTTAGAAATGAAGATGAGCACCACCACCCAGAGTCAGACACAACTAGACTTAATGTCAAGGGGAAACCTTAAGCCCCTGTGTTGGCAGGACTGAAGACCAATATGTCGCAGGTTCAAATCCGAGGAGAACATGGGTGAGCTCTCCCTATCAGCTCCAGCTCCTCATGCGGGTACATGAGAGAAGCCTCCCACAAGGATGGTAAAAACATCAAAAACATCCGGGTGTTCCCTGGGCAACGTCCTTGCAGACGGCCAATTCTCTCCCACCAGAAGCAACTTGCAGTTTTTCAAGTCGCTCCTGACACAACAAAAAAAAAAAGAAGCCAAAAGCAGGCCCACACTTTCCACTGAAATAATAATCAGTTTATATTTGTTACAGTTGTTCTTCATTTTAATTATTATATTGTTTTAAAGCGTTTGTACACTGCAGTGTGCACAGGAATTCATTCATATTTTTTTTCAAATTATAATCCGGCCCTCCAACAGTTTGAGGGACCTGGCCCTCTGTTTAAAAAGTTTGAGGATCCCTGGTGTAGATCATCACCCACCAGGGAAAACAAGACAATCTCAGTTAGAAATAGAGGCTAGGAGCATGGCCTACCCTGAAAAAGCTTCAGATAATTCAAGATCATGATGAAGCTGTGTTCCCAGGATTCATTCAAACCACATCCCCCAGTAAGGCATTTTCAAGACTAGACTATTCATCCCATCAAACCTTCCTTCTCATGTGTTTTTTGCGGGTACTCTAATTCAATTTGGCCTTTTACTTTGACAGGTACAGAATAGAAAAGAGTATAGGGATGGGCTTTGTGGGCAGATGAAATGTTCAGGTTGACAAACCTGTCCGATTTGATTACGGGTGGCTTTAGGTGATGCCGTATGACATTCCTTGGGGACTTTTTGAGGCAAAAGAAAAACAGAAGTACCTTCCAAGGCATATTTGCCCTTTTTAAAAATAGAAAAGGCATACTGTAGCACAGGATGGACAGGGGAATTTACCTAATGTGGTTAAGCAACCACACAGCTTATTTGTTATAGTCTCTTTACGATAAGAGGGTGCAGAATTCACCCACATATAATTTATAACTGTTAAAATTTCTTCCTGAAATAATAATGCCTGTGCAAAGCCCTAGAAACTGATCCGGTAAGTTTTAGTTTACACAGAGAGCAGAATATCACTAGCAACACCAATGTTTATGCCAGATCTACTCATCATTGTTCAGTCACTTTTGGATTGTGACACCCCAGTTGTGAAACCCCCTTCCCAGAGAGTTTTAACTAATCCTGCCTTTATTTGCTTTCTGGTATAAGATTACTAGGTCAATTTTGATTTCCCTTTTAATGCTACATTATAAAGGCTTTGAAATCAACAACAATTTAACAACAATTTAAACCAGGGGTGCTTTGAATGCAATATTCCTGCTTCTTGGCAGGGGGTTGGACTGGATGGCCCATGAGTTCCCTTCCAACTCTATGATTCTATGCTGTCTACTACCACATATCCGCTGGATAATAGAGAAAGGCAGGGAGTTTCAGAAAAACATCTATTTCTGTTTTATTGACTATTCAAAAGCCTTTGACTTTGTGGATCATAATAAATTGTGGCAAGTCCTCGGTGGTATGGGTATCTCTTTGGTAGAAAAACTGTCGGATCCTCCCAAAGTATAGTTTGTAAAAAAAATGGCATCAACAATTCTATAGTTCATAATATTCAACATATATTGTGACCTATAATTTTTTAATCTCTAAGATCACACTCAACTTTAAGAATGAAAGTTCTATTACTCTGTTGCCAGGAATCTAGTAATTTATTCCTTAATGAGGTGATTGTGGTTTGCTGTAAAGGCACAATTATCAGTAGTTGTTCTTGTAAAATGTTATAACGTTGTGCAGACAATCTGGGCCTTATCTCATTTCACCACTTTCAGTGCCTCAGCTTCCATTATTGTTTCTGGTTCATCAACTCTCCTTCCTCGCTCTTCGTTAAACATTGGGAAATCTTGTATCTGGATATTTTTCTGTCTTGTCTTCAGCAGACCATGGAGCTTTGTAAAGAGTTGCATAATATTTATAAAAGGTTTTCTTAGTCTTGCCTTGGTCTGTCATTTCTTCCTCTTCATCTCTAGTATTAGTTTCTTCTATCTTTTTAAAGCTTTTATGCTGATTGTCTTCCCTGTTTGTTTACTGACTCAAAGTACTGACTCCCCCCCCCCCCCCCCCCCCCCAATCTCAGCCAGTGTAATAAATGAAACCTATTTTTTGTAACACTTTGATCTCATAAATCAATTATTTATTTGAGGGATTCTTTTGAAATTCCTCTTTCTTCTTTATGGCATTCTGAATCATCTTTAAGTTTTCTTGCCTCTTTCTCTTTGTTTCAGTATTTTGTTGTATGAAAACAAACCCGTCATGCATGATAACTTATCATCGTTTCTCAACCTGGGAGTCAGGAACCCTGGGGTGGTCGCAAGGGAGTTTCAGAGGGGTCACCAAAGACCATCACAAATCATATATATCTGATGGTCTTAGGAACCCCTTTGGCAAGAAGGATGAAGATCTCTCTGCCTGTCCTTCTCTTCCTTTTTTGGAAACAGATGGCGAACCCTCCCATCAAAAGCTCTCCTGCGCTGCAATTGTCAGTGCTCTCAGCCAAGGGGATGGTTGTTTCCGAGATGCCAAATGGGAAAGGGAGAGCAGGCTTGCTTGGTGCATGGCAATGTGGTGCACATGTGCAGGGCGAGGGAGAGCATGTGAGGTTGGAGGGAGGCTCACGCCAGTGAGTCCCTTCAAGGTATGGGGGTTCTGTGTGGGATGTTTGGCCCAATCCTATCGTTGCTGGTGTTCAGAATGCTCTTTGATTGTAGATGAACTATAAATCCCAGCAAATACAACTCACAAATGTCAAGGTCTATTTTCCTCAAACTCCACCAGTGTTCACATTTGGGCATACTGAGTATTCGTGCCAAGTTTAGTCCAGATTCATCATTGTTTGAGTCCACAGTGCTCTCTGGTGTAGGCGACTCCAACTCCAAAACTCAAGGTCAATGGCAGCCAAACCCTCTCAATATTTTCTTTTGGTCATGGAGTTCTGTGTGCCAAGTTTGGTTCAATTCCATCGTTGAGGGAGTTCAGAATGCTTTGATTGTAGGTGAACTATAAATCTCAGCAACTGCACTTCCCAAATGACAAAATCAACCCCCCCCCCCCCCCCAATCCTACCAGTATTCAGATTTGGGTATATCAGGTATTTGTGCCAAATTTGGTCCAGTGAATGAAAATACATCCTGCATTTCAGATATTTACATTATGATTTATAACAGTAGCAAAAGTACAGTTATTAAGTAGCAATGAAAATAAGTTTATGATTGGGGGGGGGGGTCACCATAACATGAGAAACTGTATTAAAGGGTCACGGCATTAGGAAGGTTGAGAAGCACTGGCTTATGTTTTTAAACTCAGTTGACAAATTTTGCTACTTTGAAAAGTACTGGCGAGATATAGATCCATTTTTATGTCTGGTTCTGACATGTATTTTATTATTTATTATTTATTTCGGGCTTTCATATCCTGTCCTATCTCAACCTCCGCAGAGGGACTCAGGATGGCTATTTTCTTGCATCTAGGTGATGAAATGAAGCACAAGTCTCCCCAAGCATATCATACTTTCCTTTAGGATTGTTGACTGGCATCTAGAATGCTTCCCAACAATACATAACTCTCATAAACACATTTTCATTCATGCCCAATATAAACATACCTCCCTTCCTATACTGACACCTTAGGCATATAACCTCATAAACTATGGGGGGAAAACTATAGGGATGCTGACTTTCCTGTTACAAATTCTGTATTTTAGAAAACAACCATCTCTGTTAATTTTATTTCAAAGTAGCATTGCCAGATAGTTTTATGAATTGCACAACTAGGTTTTTTTCAATAGATTTTTAAAGATTAATCCCGTAGTGTCTTTAAGCCATCCCTAATGGACAACTATCCACCAGTATCCAACCTCCCCTTTCTGAGCAAGGTCTTGTAGTGTGTGGTGGCCTCCCAACTCCAGGGATTTCTGGATAAGACAGATTATCTAGATCTATTTCAATCTGGTTTCAGGCCTGGCTATGGAAAAAAGACAGCTTTGGTCACCTTGGTAGATAACCAAAGCAGAGAGCTAGACAGGGGAATGTGTCCCTGTTGGTTCTCCTGGATCTCTCAGTGGCTTTCGATACAATTAACCATGGTATCCTTCTGGGTCATCTTGCTGGGATGGGGCTGGGAGGCACTGTCTTACAGTGGCTCGGTGCTTCCTGGAGGGCCATGGAGAAATAAGCAGTTGGACAGAAGGTGGTGCTGGGAAACTCCTGTTCGAACACCTGGCCGTTGTCCTGTGGGGTTCCTCAGGGTTCCATTTTGTCCCCCCATGCTGTTGAATATACACATGAAACTGCTGGGAGAAGTCATTTGGAGTTTTGGAGTTCGGTCCCACCTATATGCAGATGACACCCAACTCTACTACTCCTTTCCACCTAATTCGAAGGAAGCTGTTCTGACTGATGACCAGTGGCTGTCATCAGTAATTGACTGGATGAGGGCAAATAAATTGAAACTTAATCCAGACAAGACAGAAGTACTCCCGGTCATTTCAAAGGCAGACCGGGGAATAGGGATGCAGCCTGTGCTGGGTGGGATCACACTCCACTGAAGATAAAGATCCGCAGTTTGGGGTTCCTCCTGGATTCAGTGTTGAGCCTGGAGGCCCAGGTATCTGCGGTGATCGGGAGGGCCTTTGCCAACTGTGCCTATTCCATGAGAAGCAAGATCTAGCCACGGTGGTACATGCCTAACTACATCCCGCCTGGATTACTGTAATTCACTCTATGTGGGGCTGCCTCTGAAGAATGCTTGGAAACTTCACCTGGTCCAAAGAGCTGCAGCCAGATTGCTCACTGAGGCTGATTGTTGGGAGCAGGCAACCCCCCTGTTGCAGCAGCTCCATTGGCTTCCAGTCTATAACCAGGCACAATTCAAACTGCTAGTTATGACCTTTAAAGTCCTAGGCGGTTTAGGTCCAGACTATGTGGCAGACCGCATCCCCTTGTATGAACTTGCACAGGCCCTAAGATCTTCAGGAGGGGCCCTTCTCTCTGTCCCACCTCCATTTCAAGCTCAGTTGGTTGGAACGAGAGAACAGGCCTTCTCAGTGGCTGCCACTCGACTCTGGAACTTCTTGCTCAGGGAAGCCACAATGGCCCCCTTCCTGCTATCCTTCCGGCAGCAGGCTAAACCCTTTTCATTCAGGTAGGCTTTTAAAGATGATGGTGTTTACAATCTAGTCAGGGGGTTGCTGCTGTTTTTAACTGTTTTGATGGTTTTTAACTGAATTTTTTAATGCTGCATGTGTTTAATTCTATTTTAATTTTTGTATATTTGTATATTTTGAATTGAATACCAATGCTTTTATCTCAAGCTGCTTTGAGTCCCTTTTGGGGAGATAAAGTAGGGCATAAATAAATATGATCATCATCATCAGCTACACCCTAGTGAAAAAATAAGCCCGCAACATTGGTCCTCAATTCATTTAATAGCTGTGTTTTTCTGTTTCCATTGCAAAATCATGAGTTATCCCCCTTCCATTTTCAGTTTCTCCTGCAAGTTTGCATTCAGTAGATAAGACAGCTAACCAGCCCAGCTGTTGTTGGTCCACAGCAGGGTGCTTGCAGTTTCTGATAAGTGTGAACTTGCTTGCTGGAACGTCTTTCAGCTCCTGTCACTGGCAATGTGCGAAAAAATAGACTATATCCCTTTTAGCACTTTGCTGAAAAACAGTTCCATTTGTTTCTGATAAATCTCATTTAACTCTGTGTTCCTATTGCTTTCGAAAAGACTTGAAAGTTCTGATGCAGAGCTTTCCAAAAAATTCATGTTGGTGACACACTTCATTTCGTGACACAGTAATTCAGTTTTACTGGGAAACTAGTGGTTAGACCAACCTTTTAGAAGAGATACGGATGCATACAAAAATTGTAACGTATGGGGAGGGACACAACATATCTCATGAGAACCTTTCTATTTACAAAAATGCGTTATCTATTGCTTTTTTAGCATTCATGCGACACACCTACACACTGCAGACAAGAGTTCTTTCTCCCACCCTGGACATTATTCCACAGATATATAAACCCCACTTTCCTAGTTTCCAACAGACCTCACAACCTCTGAGGATGCCCGCCATAGACGTAGGCAAAACGTCAGGAGAGAATGCTTCTGGAATATGGCCCTACAGCCTGGAAAACTCACAACAACCATGTGATTCCAGCCATGAAAGCCTTCAGCAATACCTTGATGTAGCATTTTGTCCATCTCTATTTTTGTAGCAAACAAGAAGAGAAATATGACCTATTCCGGTATTTTAGAGAGGAACAAACACATCTGTATTGTCGAGGGCTTTCATGGCCGGGATCACTGGGTTGTTGTAGGTTTTTTTCGGACTATATGGCCATGTTCTAGAAGCATTCTCTCCTGACGTTTTGCCTAAGCATCCTCAGAGGTTGTGAGGTCAAAATGTCATGCAGGCGAAATGTCAGGAGAGAATGCTTCTAGAACATGACCATATAGCCCACAAAAACCTACAACAACCCAACAAACACATCTCCTTATGTAAGTACATTGATTATTCAAACCAGGCTGTTGAACTCTGTCTGTAACAGGCATGGGTCAACTTTTGCCCTCCAGGCATTTCAGACTACAACCCCCACAGTTCTTTACAGGTTGTTAGGAATTGTGGGAGTTGTAGTCCAAAACACTTGGACAGCCAAATTTGGCCCATGCATGCCTGATGTATAAGCAACATATTTTTAAAGTCTCGCTTGGTTCCTTGGCAAGACTGTTTATAAAGGGAAGCATAAAAATAGCTCTGTATTTCCATGCAGTGGCATCTTTGTGAAAAGTGCATGCAGTCGAAAGAAGGACCAGGATATTTCCAACCTACCCAATTTATTCTTCAAGCCAGGCATCCCACGTTCGAGAAGGAAGCCGCGGTGGGAGAATGCCCCCATCCTGCTGGTTGCGACCTGGTGGCCTCGAAGCGATCCCAGCAACACTCCTAACAGGATTCTGTTTGGACTCTCACAGGTGTATAAGCAGACGGCTGCCGGGAAGCTGGGAGACATCAGCCTGAAGGCGACGGAACAGGAGGAGGAATTTGCAGGGAAGGCGGTTCAGTTCCAGCGAGAGATGAAACACCTGCAGCAGATGCTGAAGGAGAAGCAGGAAGCCCTTGATGAAGCGCTGCAGCAGAAAAGGTAAGTCAGCCCAGCCTTGGGATCTGACTGGTGAAAGGGAGGCATTTGCTCTGAATGCTCTGCCTGAGAGCCCCACCTGGTGTGCCATCGCTGCATCTGCTTTCATGTCTCTCTGCTGGGTTGAAAACACCGACTGGTCTCCTTCTCTGAACTTGTTTAGTCTGACCACCAAATCGCCTTCCCTCCCATGACCTTCTCTTCCACATCCTGCCTTTCTAGTCCTGACAGCCAGCCTTAAAATCCCCTTGACTCTTCTGGCAAGGAAGCAAACACACAGAAGCTATTCACTTGAATGGAGATTTCAATCATTCTGTCCAATTTAAATTGCTGGTTGTGTGCTCATTGAGTTAACGCCGTCTTCCAGTGAGGCCTGATGGAGTCTCAGGCTGACGGTTTTCTGGCAGGCAAATGAGAGAAGCTGCTTAACGCTTGGCAAAGAGGAATGCCTCGCACATTGGGAGGATACTGATCACAGAAGGAGAAATAAGCAATTGGACAGATCTTGCTGGGACTTACATAATTCTTTGTGTTGAATTCATCTAGACCAGGGGTTCTCAATTTCTATTTCCCTCCCATCGTTCAGGGGGTGTTTTGGTGGTGCTATTCCTGAATGGCAGAATGGAGTTAGACTGGATGGCCTCTGGGGTTGCTCCTATTGTGATTATTATTACAAAGGTTTGATGGTCATCTGTTGGGGGTGCTTTGTGATTTTCCTGCTTGGCAGAAGGTAGATGGATTGGATGGCCTTTGGGGTTGCACCTATTATTATTATTATTAAGGTTGAATGGCCATCTGTTGTGGGTGCTTTGATTGTGCATCTGTTGTGGGTGCTTGGATTGTTCCATTATTGTTGTTGTTGTTGTTGTTGTTTGAAACACCACAAGATGAGCCCACAGCAGACAAGACCACTCTGCTGGCTGTTGTATTGGATCACACGTCAGACAATTCCCAAGTGTCTAGGACTGTGTGATGTATCGGCGAATGATGTGTGCAGATCCCAGTAAGGTGGCCTTCTGCAGCTGGCAAATGGTAATTTTGTCAGCGCCGATTGTGTTTAAGTGCAGGCCAAGGTCTTTAAGCACTGCACCCAGTGTGCCAATCACCACTGGGACCACCTTTACTGCCTTGTGCCAGAGTCTTTGCAGTTTAATCTTTAAATCCTCATATCGTGTCAGCTTTTCCAGTTGTTTCTCTTCAAACCTGTGATTGTTATTATTATTATTATATTATTATTATGGAGCCCACGGTGACACAGTGGGTTAAACCCCTGTGCCGGCAGGACTGAAGACCGACAGGTCGCAGGTTCGAATCCAGGGAGAGGCGGATGAGCTCCCTCTATCAGCTACAGCTCCTCATGCAGGGACATGAGAGAAGCCTCCCACAAGGATGATAAAACATCAAAAAATCATCCAGGCGTCCCCTGGGCAACGTCTTTGCAGATGGCCAATTCCCTCACACCAGAAGCGACTTGCAGTTTCTCAGGTCACTCCTGAAACGACAAAATATTATTATTATTATTATTATTATTATTATTATTATTATTGGGTTTATTTATTTATTTATTTATTTATACGCTTATATAAATATCTCAGCCTAAGTCGGCGACTCATTGCGGTTTACAACACTTAAAAAACAGTATTCAGTTTAAAACATAAAACACATATACAATACAAATTATTGGGCCACCAATAATAATCCCATGCATCTCGTAACTGGAATCGCAATCCAAAATTCGTCGTCCATGATTACCAATCCTTTAGTCATCAAAATTCGTTGCAACGGATTAACCGAATGCTTGTTTAAACATCCATGTCTTCAATCTCTTCCGAAACACCATCAGCGAGGAGGCTGATCGTACCTCTATGGGGAGGGTGTTCCAAAGCCGAGGGGCCACCACAGAAAAGGCCCTGTCTCTCGTTCCCGCCAGCCGCACTTGTGAAGCCGGCGGGATAGAGAGCAGGGACTCTCCAGAAGATCTTAGGGTCCTGGTGGGCTGATAGGCTGAGATACGTTCGGATAGATAAGTTGGGCCAGAACCGTTTAGGGCTTTAAAGGCCAAGGCCAGCACTTTGAATTGAGCCCGGTAGCATATCGGCAGCCAGTGGAGCTGGTGCAGCAGAGGAGTTGTGTGCTCCCTGCGCCCCGCTCCTGTTAGTATCATGGCTGCCGCCCGTTGGACTAATTGGAGCTTCCGGGCTGTCTTCAAAGGCAACCCCACGTAGAGAGCGTTGCAGTAGTCAAGGCGGGATGTAACCAGAGCGTGGACTACCGTGGCCAAGTCAGACTTCCCAAGGTACGGTCGCAGTTGGCGCACAAGTTTTAACTGTGCGAAAGCTCCCCTGGTCACCGCCGAAACCTGGGGTTCCAGGCTCAGCGATGAGTCCAGGATCACACCCAAACTGCGAACCTGCGTCTTCAGGGGGAGTGCGACCCCGTCTAACACAGGCTGTAACCCTATACCCTGTTCGGCCTTGCGACTAACCAGGAGTACCTCTGTCTTGTCTGGATTCAATTTCAATTTGTTCGCCCCCATCCAGACCGTCACAGCGGCCAAGCACCGGTTCAGGACCTCGACAGCCTCCTTAGTAGCAGGTGGAAAGGAGTGACAGAGTGGACATCATCTGCGTACAGATGACATCGCACGCCGAAACTCCGGATGATCTCGCCCAGCGGCTTCATGTAGATGTTAAACAACATGGGAGACAGTATTGAACCCTGAGGAACCCCACAAGACAAAGGTTGTGGGTTGAACAGGAGTCTCCCAGTAACACCTTCTGAGACCGACCCTCGAGGAATGAGCGGAGCCACTGCAGAACAGTACCTCCAAGACCCATCCCCGCGAGGCGTCCCAGAAGGATACCGTGGTCGACGGTATCGAAGGCCGCTGAGAGGTCGAGCAGCACAAACAGGGACACACTCCCCCTGTCGAGCTCCCGACGCAGATCATCCACTAAGGCGACCAAGGCTGTCTCGGTACCATGCCCCGGCCTAAAGCCAGACTGTGCCGGGTCTAGATAATCCGTGTCTACCAAGAATGCCTGGAGTTGTGAGGCCACCACACGTTCCATGACTTTGCCCAAAAAGGGGAGATTGGAAACAGGCCGATAGTTGACGAATTGAGTGGGGTCCAGTGATGGTTTCTTCAACAGCGGTTTTATCACAGCTTGCTTTAAGCTGGCTGGAATTTTGCCCTCCCGAAGGGAGGCATTAACCACCACCTTCACCCACTCGGCCAATCCCCCTCTGGCCTCCTTCAGAAGCCAGGATGGGCAGGGTCTAGGATGCATGTGGTAGCTCTCATTCCTCCAAGCACCTTGTCCACATCCTCGGATTGAACCAATTGAAATGAATCCATCAAAACCGGACAAGCAGATGCTCGTGTTACATCCTCAGAGTACTGCCGTTAATATGGTATCCAGTCCAGAGCGGATCAAAGCGACTTTGTCTGCAAAGAACCGAGCAAAGGCTTCGCAGCGAGCTGCCGAGTCATCAGGGCACCCATCCTGAGTGGGTTGTGTGTATGGCCATGTTCCAGAAGCATTCTCTCCTGATGTTTTGCCTGCATCTATGGCAGGTATCCTCAGAGGTTGTGAGGAGAGAATGCTTCTGGAACATGGCCATACAGCCTGGAAAACTTACAGAACCTGGTGATTCTGGCCATCAAAGCCTTCGACAATACATTATTATTATTATTATTATTATTATTATTATTATTATTAATTACAAAGGCTGAGTGGCCATCTGTGCTTTGATTGTGCTTTCCCTATATGGCAGAAGGAGATTGTCCTGGATGGCCCTTAGGGTCTTCCATTGAAGTACTTTTTACTTTATGTTGGTCAAAAGGTTTGCCAATGCCTGATAATAGATAATATAACTTAAAAACAACCTTTCTTTTAAATGAAACCTGTAGGCAAGTATAACACATCTTCATACTACCCTGAAGGGAAATGGAGCGGCCCCAGGTTGTATATAATATAACATCTAATATAATACATAAACATTTACTGGGGCTCCACAAAAAGGGCTCCGCAACTGAAAACGTTTCTACTATTAGAAAGGCTTCATAGAATATTATTTTTATCAACAGTAAACCAAAGCAGGAGATGGTGATTAACCCGTTGCTTTTATAGACCATCCCAACTGTTGTGAGACAAAACAGTGGGAAGCGGAAGCCAAGCTGTGTGCCATCTGTGCTGTGAATGTCAGCTCTTCCATAGAGATTAAATAGCATGGTTGTACATGGTTTTTCCTTTAGCCTGGAAAACAGAGGAAATTTTATTTCAAACATTTTTTGAAACGGACTTGGGATGCAGCCATTCCAAGACATTTTGATGCCTAATTGGTGAAATTGCATCCATCCATTCTTCCAGGCAGTTTTGTAAAAACGCACTATATAGATAGATAGATAGTTAGATAGGGATAGGAAGGTATATTAGCTAATCCCAAAACTAAACCCCATGAATCTGGAGGTTCAACTGTACATCGGCTAATAACATTTCAGCTGAAGATGCTAAAAAAGCTCTGGTTACGTTTTCACTACGTCCTGAATGCAGAACTCAAACTACCGCCCTGAGTCCCTCTGCAGAGGTTGGGATAGGACGTGATACAAATGTCCTAAATAAATACTTTTAGTACTTCTCCTTACAGTGTTCCCTCACTTATCGTGGGGATTCTGTTTCAGGACCTCCCACGATAAGTGAAAATCTGCAAAGTAGGGATACCATATTAATTCTAATATTTCTACATTATTTTATATATTTTATATATTATTTTCTTACTCGCGCTTCCTTATCCACCTCCCGGCCCATCCCAAGAGCAACTGCCTGCCTCCCTGGCTTCTGCAGAGCGTCCGGAGCCATGCAGGCAGCAGCAGGCCAGGGAGGCAGGCCTTCCCCAATGCACCTTAGGCCGCCGCACTTCCAGGGTCCCTGGCCTCCATTGGATGTAAATATTTAATAGTTTGGTTTTTTTTAATTTTGAATAGGAGAGTATAAAGAGAG